CGGCAGAGAGGTGTCGGTGCGTAGAAACAGCGACGGGTCGGCAGTAGAAGGAGCAAACCCAAGAGCCGCAAGTGTAGTCCTCAGTGTGTCGTGCCACTCACGTGGCGCCTGGCGGAGACCGTAGACTGGACGCCGGAAACTCCACTGGGTACCAGAAGGGAAAGACCCAGTGAAGCCAGGTGGGCGACGCAGCCAGATCTCCTCGTGCAGGCTGCCCTGCAAGAAAGCTGTGCTGAAGTCAAGAGAGTGCAGCTCGTAGTCACGGTGAGCAGCAACGTGCAGCAGTACCCGAAGAGTGGTCATCTTCGGGGTGGGGGAGAAGGTCTGAAAGTAGTCAACTCCCTGCCGCTGACTGAAGCCACGAGCCACGTAACGCGCCTTGAAGACAGGCGGAGAACCCGGCGGCCGCTTCACCCTGAAGATCCACATGCCACTGACGATGTTCGCCCCAGGAGGGGGGACAGCGTCAACGTAGGTGCCTGTGGACTTCCAGGAAGCCATCTCTGCATCCATAGCTGCCTGCCACTGAGAGGAGTAGGGACCCTCTATCGCCTCCGCGTAAGAGCGCGGAGTCGGGATGTCAAGTGCATCCGGGTCTCCCTCAGGGGTAAGCAGTACGGACACGAGATGAGGTGAGGCAGCTGCCAGACACTGGAACTCCTCCTGCCTGTCCTCAAGGACGTCCGTGCCAAGGGCACACTCACCCCCGACGGACGGAGGACAGACAGACTCAGACTCAGCGACAAGACTAGCAGCGTAGTCTAAGCGACAGCGAGCAGCAAAGTCGACGAGCTCAGTAACGAGAGCAGACGCAGCAGTAGACTCGAAAGAAGGGTCAGTGACAACAGTAGCAAGGAGACGCGTGACAGTAGGACTGGCAGCACGAAGAGAGTCCGACTCCGGGTCGGCAAGAGCAGGAAGAGAGGACTCAGGAGGAGAAGGCAAAGGGGCACGCAGAGGAGCAGTGGACGGACGCAGAGACATCCGGTGCGTGCCAGGGACAGGAGGAGGACGCTGACGCGAACCGCGACCACTAGTGCGAGCAGCACGGACAGGCGACGCAGGGCGAGACGCAGGCTCACGACGCTCAGCCAGACCTCCAGTAGGACCAGTGTAGGGAGAAGGAGCAGGCAAAGGGGAGGTAGGCTGCAACTGTAGCTGGGACGAGACAGGCTGTGGACACTCTAAGGGAGGAGGAGGACCAGTAGAGGGTGGAAGACCAAGAACCTGCTGCAGGAGTGGCACGAAGTACGGTCGAGGCCGCGCGGCGACGCTAGAAGCAGCCGGGACAGCACCAGAACCCTCAGCAGGAGCACCCGCTCCAGCAGCACCACCAGTAGCTCCAGAACCTCCAGCAGCACCAGGAGCACCCCCAGTAGGACTGCCAGCAGTAGTCTCAGCGCCAGCACCCTCAGCAGCACCAGCTCCAGTGCACCCAGGACGAGCACCTCTGGGACCCGCGACCGCAGCACCCTCAGCAGCCGAAGGACCTCCAGCACCAGCAGCACGCCTCCAGCGCCGGGCAAACCACTCACGCAGCTCCTGTGGAGAAAGTGGCTCCCGGCGAGACGAAGCACTCGGAGAACCTCCAGGCGAAGCACCTCCAGGCTCAGCACCCCCAGGCGTAGCACCCCTAGGCTCAGCACCCCCAGACGTAGCACCCCTAGGCTCAGCACCCCCAGGCTCAGCACCCCCAGGCTCAGCACCCCCAGGCTCAGCACCCCTAGGCTCAGCACCCCCAGACGTAGCACCCCCAGGCCCAGCACCCCTAGGCTCCGCACCCCCAGGTACAGCACCCCCAGCCTCAGCACCCTCAGCAGCACCAGAGTCACCAGTGACCTCGACACGCTCGACCGCGTCTACCTGGGACACACCTGAAGGGGCAGGACCCTGAGGGGGGAGGGGGTCTACCTGGGGGGGACCTGGTACCAGGAAGAGTGGGGGTGGGGGGAGGGACGGAGTGCGGTAGGGGAAGAGGCGGTAGTAGGGGACCGACTCGTCAAACGTGACGTCCTGGGAGGACAGAACACGGCGAGAGGTGGGGTGGTAAAACTGCCACCCAGGCGCGTCAGGGGGGAACCCCAGGAAGACGCAAGGAGCAGCACGAGGGGATAGTTTGTCCGCAGACAGGTCGCGGACAAACGCCCGAGATCCCCAGACCCGGAACGCCGACGCATCGCCAACCTTCCCCGTCCACAGCAGGGCTGGGGAGGTCTCCGGCCTGGAGACCCTGGGGTGGAGGTTGATCTGATGCGCCGCGTACCGAACCGCAAACGGCCACAGAAAATGGGGGGCAGCCGCATGCATCATAGACGTACGAGCGACGTCCATGACCATGCCAATGCGGCGCTCAGCAATCCCATTTTGCTGCGGTGAGTCCGGAAGCGTGAAGGTCTGACGGATGCCCCGTGCACGACAGTAGGCACGCAGAAGGCCAGAGGAGAACTCTCCGCCTCTGTCCGAGTGCAGACGCAGAACAGGAAAGTCCGAGCCGAAGCTCTGCCTGAGCTGGAGACGAGCTGCGCGGATCCAGTCGATCAGCACCTCAGTGACATCACCCTTGCTGCGCAAGGGGAAGACTGTGGTGTAACGCGAGTAGTCGTCAACAACGAGCAGGAAGTAGCGCTCGTGACCCTGTCCACGGACGCGGGCTGGGCCCCACACGTCCATGTGAAGTGTCTGCAACGGGGCCTCTGTCGGAGGAAACTGGGAGGAGTGAGGGGCAGCACGCAGGCGCCCCTCGACACAGGGGACACAGGCAGGGCCAGGGCCCTGAGGAAGGGGAGGGAGGGACCGGGGGAGACCGGACACAAGAAGACGGGAGGCCATACCTCTGAGCCGAAGCAGAGAGGGGTGGCCAAGGCGGTGGTGCCAGAGGAGAGTCTCGTGAGACAGGAGACGACACGAACAGGGGGCAGACTCAGGACCAGACCTGGACGCCGCAGCAAACACCTGACCCGACGTAACTACCCTACCAGACTCAGCAACTGGAGGAGACGCAGTGGTCAGAGTGTACAGGCTCGACCCCGGCTGACGGGTGAACGTAGCCGCCTGTGCCAGCCTCTGTACAGTGGGTCACTCTCTGACGTGCAGGAGTGAACTGGTGGACCCCCGCATCCTGTAGGTCAGCACCACTCACCAGGTTCGTAGAGAACGAGGGGAGGTAGAGACCAGACAGGGTGCCAGAGGGAGCCGCCGGACACGGGAGGACTGTGGAGAAGCGAGACAGGACAGGACCCCCAGAGGGGTCAGCCAGAGACACTGCAACCGGTCGACTCAGCGGTGTGAGTGTGGTGCGGTCCCGAAAGAAGGAGCGAGACGCCCCAGAGTCAAGGGTGAAGGTGAGGGAGGCCGAAGCCGACGCAGTACCTGAGAGCGCAGACTCACCAGTTCCTGAGGACGCAGACACACGAGCACCTAGAGCAGCAGCGTCGCAAGCACCTAGGGCAGTAGCCTCACCAGGACCTAGAGCAGCAGTCTCAATGCCCGGATCGGGCGGGAAACACCGGTAACAGTCACCCTCATCACTAATAGACACAGCATACATGGCAGAGAGAATAGCATCAAAGTCAAGATCATAGATGGCAACACCCGCCCTAGACAGCTCGCCCCAGCGAGGGATCTCGGAGGCCTCCGGGAACTGGTGACGCCACGCGTCCGTCAGGCGGCCAAAGCAGCGCTGGGTGGGGTGGGGACCCCCACACTGCTCACCCGCACGGTCGCCAGTGCGCAAAACGTAGGAGCACGGACCAAAACCCCCACCCCGCTGACGCGCAGTGTACCACTCACGAAGCTGCTGAGGGGACAGGGTGTCACGACCACGCTGCTGCTGCTGGCGCGAGCCACCACCGGAGCCACTCCTCTGCGAAGACCCGCGACCAGCACCACCGCCACCCCCGCCGCCTCCGACGCCTCCGCCGCCTCCGCTACTGCCGCCGCCTCCGCCTCCGCCGCCGCCTCCACCTCCGCCACCTCCACCACCTCCGCTCCCACCGCCACCGCCGCCGCCACCTCCACCTCCACTGCCGCCACCGACCCCTCCACCCCCACCTCCACTCCCACCGCCACCCCCACTCCCCCAACTGCCGCCACCTCCACCTCCACCGCCCCCGCTCGCTCCTCCAGCGCCCTTGCCCCCCTTGCCCTTGCCAGAGCGGCGTCTCCCGCTAGGGGCAGACGCCGCACCGACCGACTCAAGAACAAGGAGGTCGGCCGCAGCAGCAGAGGCAACAGAGGGCAGAAGGGGGGAGGGGGAACACCCCTCAAAGATGGGGGTGCGCGGGTCACCACGAGAGGCCCCTACAGCGACTATGCTCTTCTCGGCCGCTAGGAGGGACTTCTCGAGGAGGTCAACAGTGAGAGTGGTGGGACAGACAGAGAGAAAGTGGTCCCTGACTACGCGAAGGGAGTCAGGAAGGCGAGTGACTATGTAGTAAAGAGTGATGTACATGGGGGGGGGGTTCCTGGCGCAGAAGTCAGGAGGGAGTGCAGCGCGGTAGCGAGTGTCACTAGTGCGGAGGTGCGTAATGAGGTCAGTGACTGTGGGAAAGGCAGTAAGATCAGGAAAGAGGTACGGTAGCATGAGACGGCTCAGTGCAGCAGTGGCAGGGGAGGAGTAGCGCGCAACTACAGCGTCGTACAAGGTCTGAGCACTCTTGTACTGACTAAAGTGCGCACGCTCGGAGGTAGGGAGGTGGCGACGCACAGCAAGACGTGCAGCAGCGTCGCGCGTGGCCCACTGGGAGCGAACAGTGGCGTCAGCATCAGCAGCAGGGGCAGTGGAGGTGCCAGAGGTGAGGTCAAAGAGAGAGAGGCCGTCTGCCCTATCGCACTGTAAGAACAGCTGCAGGTCATCTACCCAGACCTCAAAGTCAATGGCCCTACCCTCAGCGTCAAAGGCGAGAACACTAGGGGTAGCCATGACCCTAGACGACTAGCAGCGCAAACAGTGGGGTGAGGACAGTGCAGTGAAAAGGCGCTGTGCTCACCAGACTGGGCAGGTCGGGCGGCCCTGAAGGAGGGCGGCGCGGCGGCTCGGCGGCTCAGCTGCTGGGCGGCCCGGCGGCTCGGTGGCTCCGCTGCTGGGCGGCTCGGCTGCTGGGCGGCTCGGCTGCTGGGCGGCGCGGCCGCTGGGCGGCTCGGCTGCTGGGCGGCTCGGCTGCTGGGCAGCTCGGCTGCTGGGCGGCTCGGCGGCTCGGCTGCTGGGCGGCTCGGCGGCTCGGCTGCTGGGCGGCTCGGCTGTGCTGCTGCAGGGCACGGGGCCGCAGGTAAGGGCGGCGGGGCCGCTGGTAAGGGCGGCGTGGCCGCGGGTAGGGTGGCGGGGCCGCAGATAGGGTGGCGGGGCCGCAGGTAAGGTGGCGGGGCCGCAGGTAAGGTGGCGGGGCCGCAGGTAAGGTGGCGGGGCCGCAGCAGAGGGCGGCGGGGCCGCAGGTAAGGGCGGGGCCGCAGGTAAGGTGGCGGGGCCGCGAGGAAGGGTGGCGGGGCCGCTAGGTAGGGTGGCGGGGCCGCGCGATGGGGCGGCGGGGCCGCGCGATGGGGCGGCGGGGCCGCGCGATGGGGTGGCGGGGCCGCGAGGAAGGGCGGCGGGGCCGCGCGATGGGGCGGCGGGGCCGCGCGATGGGGCGGCGGGGCCGCTAGGTTGGGCGGCGGGGCCGCTAGATAGGGCGGCGGGGCCGCGCGATGGGGCGGCGGGGCCGCGATGGGGCGGCGGGGCCGCTAGGTAGGGCGGCGGGGCCGCGCAATGGGGCGGCGAGGCCGCGAGGTAGGGCGGCGGGGCCGCGGAGACGGGTGGCGGGGCCGCAGTGCAGGGCCGCTAGTGCGGCTCGACGAAGTGAGGGCCCGGAGCGCGACTCGGGCTGAGCGCGCTTCGGGCAGGAAAAAAAAAAATCGATGTGGTGGGCCCTAAGCACAGTTCCCAAGGGGGAACCTGCTCGATACCATGAGAAGATTTGAACAAGAATGGATGAACTATGAAATGAAGTGAGTACAAATATGAAACCCTAATTTGTTGTACCCCCTATGGGATACCCCACTATAGCCTACACAACAGCATAAGCTATAATGTTCTGACAGGCCGCTGTGAAGCCAGCAGCCCCAGTCGCACGTGAGCCCGTTGCTCCAGTCGCCCGTGAGCCCGTTGCTCCAGTCGCCCGTGAGCCCGTTGCTCCAGTCGCCCGTGAGTCAGTTGCTCCAGCCGCTCGTTTAGCCGCAGAGCCAGTTACTCTAGTTGCCCATGTGCCAGTTGCTCCAGTTGCCCGTGTGTCAGTTGCTCGAGTTGCCCGTGTGCAAGCAGCTTCACCCGTTGCCCACCACCTCCTCTCCTCTCATGGTCCCTCCTCCTCACTTGTCGTCTGCTTCTTTCGCTGCACTCTCCCTGGTGAACCACTTTAGGGGGCGATAACTACATTTCTTCCCCCAAACAGTTATGGGGGCGTGTCAAAATATGTTATATGTATTTTATTTAACTGCTTGTGAGAAGGTGGCAGTGTAGATATCTTGCTTTATGTTTGGTGGGTGCACTCAGCACAGTCAAGTGCGAACGCGGGTTCTCCCGCCAGAACGTGATCAGAAGCTGGCAGAGGACGAGCCTCTACAATGCTAGGCTGGCAGATATGCTGACGTTGAGTCTGCTTGACTATGACATGGAGTAGGGGAAGGTGGTGGAGATTTGGAGGAGCTGGAGGAAGAGGAGGCCGAGCAAACGCAAGGAGGTAGCAACGGCTGATGCAGCACGACGAGGCAAGTGTGTTAAGGGGAGTGGCCGCCGTGTGGTGGAGGTGCTCGAGAGCACAAGTTTCTCCTCTGGGACCCGAGGTGACAGCAGTGACGACGACGACAGGGAAGGAGGATGTGGTGGTGCTGGGCCTGCAGAAGATGATGAGGAGGAGGAGGATGAGTTTGATGAGGAAGATACTAGCAAATACAGCTGATGTGTGTGGAGTTGTGTTGTCTTGCTGTTGCTATGTCTTGTCCCCACCCATACACTCCCTCCCTCCCGCCCACCACAAGTTCTACTTTTCTGATTCTTGTTGTTAGAATTGTTGTTGAATATATTAAAGTGACCCCACCCCACTGAACTGAATCCTGTCCTGATGATACAGTGTGTATTTCGTGTTTACACTGATGGGTCAGCATACCATTGGGAACAGCACTGAGAAATACAGTATAACGCCAACCCTCAGCGCTGATCAATCAGCGCACAAGGGATTTTTTTTTTACACAGCACTGATTGATCAGTCTACCCTCAAACCAATCTGAGGCTCTGTCTGACACCTTCTCCCCCCCGCCCCCCCTCGTAGCTTTGAGATTCGCCAATTTATCGATTAATTGACACGGCTTTGCAGTACGAAATGTTCTACTTGAAAGTTCTCTCACCCCTGTTGGGCAATATCACAACATCATATTAGCCTCTCAAAATGTCGAGTCTATTGCAATTAGGATTAGACCCTAGGGTCTACTAGTCGGGTACCTTCGGTCATGCCCAACCCATAAGCTAGGTTATTCAACCCGATTCGATTTATCAAAACAACTAGGCGAATAGCATCGTGAAGGCTAGTAATGCAAACGATACAATTTTAAGGGGAAATTGCTCACCCACGCGCGGAGAAGTAGGATATTCAGCAGGGTTATTGGAACCAGCAGCGTCAATCTCAGCGATATGCTTTGAGTTCACTAGATAATTGATCTGCTTTATAATCGTAGCAAGATCTATGTAACTGTAAGGAATTTTTTTTTTCCTTACTTCGCGTCCCCGCTCAGCGCGTACACCACTGTAGCACCACAGTCAGCACCGTTACCACTCGCAACCCTCGCATCGACAATCCTCCCGCCACCTTCGCACATCGCACCCCGACCTCACGGCTCGGCGGGTAACCCACGCTCTGGGCCTCCGCTTCGACATTTTCCCCAACCTCAGTCCCAGGCCCGTCGCGCGAGAACCACAGTCCATTACCGTTACCACAGTAGTTTCGCTATATATTCTTCGCTCATGCCTTCGCTCATTGTACTCTTGCTTCGATAGTGCAATTCTAGCTCGCTCACTCAATTGCACTCGTAACAGTAACGTTTTCCATTGTTTATATAATGCCGTGGATTGATGTGCCTTCAACGATGGGACGCTGCTGTAACGAATGCGCTTTGGTGACGTGGTTGGTGTCCAGCGTCAATTCAAATGCGGCTCGCCAACATTGGAGCGCCTCGATGAGTGTCTGCAATCTGTGCCTGTAGGGGTGAGGGCTTCCCTGTAAAATGTCGCTCAAACCAGGGTAGTGGTGGTCGTACTCAGTCGTCGACTGCATCTCGACGACTACTTGTGATGCCTACGCGATCGCTGGGACAAGAACCCAGGGTGTGCGACGCGCCACGTCAAAACCCAGGGTCCACACACCCAGCACACTTTCATCTAGGTGCAGCCAATTCAATTTGCAGCGTTCCATTTTGCGAGCGACGGGTCGTTGGCGGCGCCGTAACCAACCCGAAAAAGGTATCTGCGTCGCGAGGAATCGCCCTGGGCAAAATGTTGTCGTCTGCATTTCCACACCTGCGTGTGCGATCCCACCTCAACAGCAAATCGGGCAAGCCCTATCGCCCTTGGTTCGCCTAACCTACCACCCCTTGCTCTAGTTTATATGTCTCACTTGCTCCAGCTGAGATTATCAAAATACGCTCGACTTCGCTCACTTGCTAACTAGCCTCAGTGTCTACCTGCCTAACTTGATTTCCCCGGCTGATACGACCTCCGTCGGTAGCAGAATACCTGGAAGCGTGCCATTCAGCCAGCTCTTTTGTAACTGACTTGCTCAGCCATGGCTTCGAGAGTTGCTCTAGCGCTCCTCGCGACCTCACTTCTCCTCACCTCAGCAGCTGCTGCTCAGTTCGCTCCCCGGCCGTCGCCTGACTCATTGCCCAAACCTGCGCCCCTCTCGTCGCCCATCACGTCGCCCATCACGTCGCCCAGCATGTCGGCCAGCACGTCGCCCGTATCGCCACCTGCGACGACGTTTCGCGCGGAGCTGAAGCAAGTGGCGAGCATCCTCGCTGGGCAGCCGGGCTACAGCCTTCCGGCCAAAGTGTTCTCCACCCTTAGTACGCCTTCTCTTCCGTCTTGCTTGCTCTTTGCACCTCTGCTTTTCCCCTGCGACCGTGGTACTGTCTTGCTTTCTCTCTGCGCACTTGTTGTGCTTACTCATCGCACCTCGGCCCTGTTCTTAAGCCCACGCCCGCCGTTCTTATAAGCTGCGCCCTCAGGTTGTCCTGCTTTGTCGCTGAGCTCTTCTCACACCTTTACTCCGGTGTGGCCACCCGCCGCTCGTCGGCTTACACTTGCCCTGTCATCCCTCCTGCTCTGTCCTTCCGTTCCTGGCTGAGTTTCCTGGCCGCAAGGAAGGATGCATATTGTTCCCGTTTCACCCGCTCCTTTCCTTCCCTTCCCCTCCCCTTCCATCCTGTTCCCATCCCAACTGCGTTTCACTGCTGCAATATCGCGCGAGCCCATTCCCAGGCAACTTCCCGAACGGCAAGCTGAAGCTCGTCGAAAACACCACGGTTCTCGTCCCCACCGACTCCGCCCTCGCGAAATTCGGCCTTCGCGCGCTCTTCAACCCCAAGATGGTTACCAAACTCGCCCGCTACAACATCATTCGCGGGCGCTTCTCCTTCAGCCAAATGAAGAACCTTCCCCGCGGCACGCAGCTGCGCTCCCTTTACAAGAACCGCCCGGTAGAGCGCAAGGCCGTGAGCCCCGCCGCAAAGGACTGGGTGATCAAGAACAAGGACCTTCTCGAGACAAACTTTTTCCAGAAGTTCGGGACGCAAGCGAGCTCCGCCGCGCTCAACAAGCTTCTCCCGCCCGCTGGCAACGAGGTGGGGTTCGGCCGGCCCAACTCCGGCCCGCTGTCGTGGGTGCGGGTAGACAAGCCCGACCTGTTCAGCGGTAAATTCATCAAGGTGCACGGTGTGGATAACCTTATCAGGCCGCCTGCTTAAGGTGTTTGTTTATAGTTCCATCTTTAGGGAATCCTGTGGCAATCTAGTGTTAGATTTGCATTGTTCTTTCCCTTAGCAGCTCCGGTTGTGTAGATTATGTAATGCGCATAGGAAGACTTCAGAGCTGTCAATATTGTTGGGGCACAGCTCGTGCCCTGGTAGGCTGTAACTAATAATGATGTTCATGTTTACCATTTTCATACGATGTAAGCAGGTCGTGCTGATGCATTGTGGCATGTGCTGCTGTGCTGCCACCCCGTCCACTAGCTGTACCAAGCTCCTGGAACGTTGCTCCAAACAGCATGAACATTGGCCGCACATGGAGATAGACGTACACATGCTGCATGTCCACACTCCACACCACATGCTGCTGCATTGCACCATGTGGTGAATACTCTGACAGCAGGGGCTGTGGGGGTTCCATGACTCACACGCATCACAAGCTGTATCCGGGGAGACACATGGCGTCAGGGGCTGTTGTAGGGGTGACATTATCACGTCACGTGCTGTACCTTGGAATGTCATACCAGGGCTACATCATGCTTGCTGTTTGTCTCTGGCACCATGAAAGCCACTGGTCGTGGAGCTCCAAATACGGTATGTGTTGAGTTATTAAATGCTATAGATCATAGCTCGAAGACCTACCGACTATTCTATTGAAATGTAAAACACTAACTAGTCTTAATATGGGCAGACGTGACGCTCCATGGGTTGGCAGCGATTTTCAACATTCTCAACAGGGGTACATCATGCTCGCTGTTTGTCTCTGGCACTATGAAAACTACTGGTCGTGGATCTCCACACACGGTATGTGTTGAGTTAATGCTATAAATCATAGCTCGAAGACGTACCGTACCTTAATGTTGAACACTAACTATTCTCAATATGGGCAGACATGACGTCCCATGGTTTGATGTTGTGTCCCGAGTTGGTTTCAGTAAAATGTGATCGATTTACAGCATTATACGCATATTCAAAACAACTAGGAGGACGCGGTCATAAATGTTCCAATCATTGCATTATGAAAAGGCTTTATGAGTGTTTTCAAAAGCTCTACCATGATCCGAACAATTTACGCCAGGACGATATATCGAGGAAGTGTCAGTTTCATCGTTGTCGTCACCTTGAAGCTGCCGAACCAGCCTCGGTTTTCCCAGAAAACAGGAAAACTCAGGACAGTCAAAAGCACAGGGATTGTCAGAACTTGCATCTAGCCCACGAGTGGAAACTTGGCTACACGAGTCTTGCGGAGTTAGTCAGAGCTTTCTCAATCCTGTTTGCTTCTCCCTTTTCAACAGCGCTTCTCGCGCAATCCTTTGCATGTCATAGAAATACCCTTCGCATCCCTTTCCTCGTTTTTAAACCGCTGTTTTTCGAATTGCTGGTATTTATTTACGCATGGATCGCTGTGCCTGGCTAAAAGCGCAGCCATGGCTCAATCCGCATGCATCTCTGAACCGCAGCCGTGTTAGCGATCCTGACACCCCTCTCAATGCTAACGGGCCTAGCACCGAACCAGCTGGTTCGGTCGCTGAACCAGCTAATCCTGCAAACCTTCCCTCTCCGGAGCCTAGCTGGGTCTTTAAGGGCTTCGGAAGCTTCCACGTCAGCGCGTCGGAACAATACGGATCGCCGTCCGTTGGAAGGCTTTCACAGCACCTTGAGAATGTCGGTTCACATCACAACGAGCATGTATTGACTGGAACGCCATCTCGTCATGATGAGCCTCGGAATGATGAGCTGCAGGGTTTTCTCGCTCCCGACGCCATTCACCTCGAGTTTGCCGTGGACCAGCGGAACCCTAACGCCACGCTTTTCGTGAGTGTAATGGGTGTGAATCTATTGGTGTGAATGTTACAAGAGGCGTGTGGAGTGTTGGCTCCAGGCAGTGGTTGAGGCGTTTTGAGGCGTGTGGAGTGTTAGGGGTACTTTTATGATAAGGCCATTAATCCCTCGTTCTATCCCGTACCTTTCATCCTATCTCGTTTCTTTCATATATCTCCTCTTAACTTGTGTATCTGGTCTTAACCTGTATTTTTACTCTTATCATGTAGTTTTCATCTTATTCTGTACCTCTCATCGTATTGTGCTCTGTTCCTGTATCAGGGTTTCCGAGTGGGCTGCCTGATCCGGCCTTCACTCATGAATAGGACTCATCGTGTTCTGTACTATCTCCCACATTCTATCTCTCTCATTCGTGGAATCCCGTACTGTTCCTGTATCAGGGTGTCCGAGTGGGCTGCCTGATCCAGCCCGCCCTCACGTCAACTGATTACGAGCCAACAGTGACAACGCCAGCGTCAACACCAGCTCCAGCTACAACAGCTGCAGCAACACCAGCAGCACCAGCAATATCCGCACCAGCAGCAGCATGAGTAGCACCCTGTGCAGAGACACCAGCAGCAGGCCGAGCCCCAGAATCAAAGTCCCCACCAGCTACACGACTCAGGTATGATGAAGGGCATGTCCTATCCAGCCATTATGATGCTTGCCTGGAAGAGGGAAATGGGAGAGGGGGATGGGTTGTGTTTCGCCTCTGTCTCGGTGTTGTGAATGCGTCTTCTTCTCTTCCAAGCTAAGACCTACCACGTCCTCCTGCTGTTTCAGGACTGTGCTCGATTTTGGGGCAAATGGCGTTTTCCTATTGGACGCCTCTGCTGTCCGCCAGCTCATCAGAGGCACCCGGACGTTGCCATGCTCCACGTGTCATCAGCTGGAAGGGGGTTGCAACAAACAGCTTGGAAGTGACCAACAGCATGGTAACGAATGCGTTGGTGGTTACCATCAGCACTGTAACCAGCGTTATCGTGGTAACAATGATGATACCAGATGCCACAGTACCGAGGGCCAGGGTATGGCTGGTGGCTGCTTGAAAAGGAAACTCTTCCAGGAAAGCGTGGGGGCCAAAAAGGGCATTACGAAGAGAAGAAGAAGAACGGAGGTGGTTGCTGGAGTTTCTAAGTGTGATTGTGAAGTAGGTGGGGGAGGGGTTGGATTGGGAGGGAGTGAGGACGAGGATGGAGACGACAGGATGGGGAGAAAAAGGAAGGGAGGGAGAAAGGGAGCACGCATCAGAGGGAAGCGGATGAGGGTTGCTAGGGCGGACAACAGTCAACAGGGTAAGAAAGGAGCAGGGAGATCGAGGAGGAATCGAGGAGTGGGTGGAGTGTCAAAGGGTTTTGCACTGAAGCGTGGGATGGGTGGGAGAAAGGGAGGAGCACGGGGGAGGAAGAGTAGTCGGAGCAAGGGGGCTTGTGGTCGGCTGGATGGTGAAGAGGAGGCGGAAAGGTTGAGGGTGAGGGGGCAGAGGGAGGAGGGAGAGGAAGGAGGGGAGGGAGGGGAGAGAGGGAGACATTTAGAAGAGGAGGATAGCGATGTGGTTCTGGTGGAGGGACCTGGGGAGGGGAGGCTGGGCGAGGAGGAGAAAGAGGGGTGCGCTGGTGTGGGGAGTGGTGCTGCGGGTGTGGGGGGCGATGAGGGGAATAGGACCTTGGACGCGTCTCAGAAATCCGTTGGTGTGGGGAGTGATGAGGGAAGTAAACGTTTGGACGCGTCTCAGAAAGGTGTTGGTGTGGGGAGTGAAGAGGGGAGTAAGGACTGGAAGGAGAGGAATGTAATCTGCACCCAATATCCAGCCAGAACGAATAACGAGGCATCTACTAACAGGGATAGGAACTTGATCTGTACTCAGTTTTTTGCTATCGAGCCAAGGAGTGGGGAAGTGGGGAGCGGAGAGGGGGAGGAAGGAGAAGGAGAGGAGGTTGAGGAGATTATAATGGAGGAGAGGGAGGAAGACGAGGAGACTGAGGAGGGGGAAGAGGAGGGAGACGATGAGGGAAAGGATGAGGAGGAAAAGGAAGAAGACGAGGAGGAGGATGAGGAGGAGGAGGAGGAGGAGGAGGAGGAGGAGGAGGAGGAGGAGGAGGGGGAGGAGGAAGAGGAGGAGGAAGAAGAGGAGGAAGAGGAAGCAGACGGGGGCAAGGAAGGAGATGATACCAAAGGAGCAAATGATGAGGATGGAAGAGGTATCGAGTGGTATGGGGGGGATGAGGGGAGCCCGGATGAGCACAGAGTTTTGACAGACGAGAGGGGTGGCAGGGGTGGGGAGAAGGACCACCATATAGGGCGCCTGCACTCCTGTGCAGCATGCATGCACGGCTGGGGTAAGGGGAACGATAATGGACTCGTGCACTCCTGCACCGCCTTTGTGCACGCTGTGCCGTATGTCAGCCTGCTGCTGCCGCATGTCACCTTCACTCTGCATGGGCTGTGCGGTCCAGATGAGCAAGGGGAAAAAGGAGATCTAGAGGAGCAAGAGCCAGATGTTGAAAGGTATGTGCTTTTCGTCTATCTTGGTTTCTCGATCCCAATTGACATTGTCCCTCCACTTGCAGCGTACTCAAACCTCCCATCCCATCCCATTTTGGCTGGCCTTTTTTCCTCATGGTGGGGATTTCTGCCTGCGTGCACCTTTCATGGCCCATGCACCTTGTAGTGTTGTTTTTATCTGTGAGCGGCCCATGATGCTGGAGTCTCACCACTTCCTGCTTGCTTGTGGTTCCAAACCCTGCTTCCTCCGGTTCTTGAATTTTGAGTCGACTGAGAAGTAACCTTGCTCTGAGCTCTCCATGTTGCCGACCAAAGTCGTGTCTAATTCATCCCTGCTTGCAGTGTGGTTCTCACTGTAGCAGCTTCAATGGCAGCAGCAGCAGAAGAAGCAGCAGCACCATTAGAAGCAGCAGCATCATCAACGGCAACTGCTTTAACTACCACCCTCTCTCCAGCTCTCTCCTTCCCTCTCCCGGCCTTCTACCGGTGGGCATCAGCGTGTGAGCGGTTGAGTGCAGCAGCAGTGGGGGCCACGGAGGCCTGTGGGGCGGACAGCTGGCTCATGTCACACCTGCTGCTGCAATCAGTAAGACCACCAGACCGTTTTGTTTTAATTATGTTCACTGCGTGATCGTCATGTGTCTCAACGGCTGGTGTCTGCGTTGTCTACAGTAGTACTACAGAGGCCTGTGGGGCGGACAGCTGCCTCATGTCACACCTGCTGCTGCAATCAGTATGTCTGTTTTTTGTTTTCGTTTTACACATATACGCATGTATATCTGTAAGCATATGGTTAATAGATGTAAGACCTGCGAAACGTAGTGTGCTCCGCCCCAAGTAAGGGGTGCTAACTGCCAGGGTCGTTTTTCCATCGTAACGAGGTTTTTAAAGTTCTAAGACGTCTTCCCCCTTACCATCAGGTTCATTTCTCGTGTACCGGAGAGGTGGCACATGGAGAGATGGTGGCAGGGGCTGCATCAATATACATGCAGTATGCAAGGGCACAGGTGAGTGCTGTAGTCTTGGGACCTCTCAAAATCCCAACAGGCTCGTTTCTCTTCCATCGGAGAGTCGGCACATGGAGAGATGGTGGCAGAGGCTGCAACAGGATGCATGCAGAATGCAAGAGCACAGGTGAGTCTCGAGTTTTAATCTCCAGTCCGTCCTCTTACCCCTCTTCTGACCGGTTGGTATTTTCTTTCGAGTCCGCCTCCCTCGCGTGCCTGTGTTGCTTTATCTCTGGCAGGACAAGCTGAGGAAATTGTTTTGAGTCGACTAAAAAAGTCACCTCCTCCCTCTCGTGCCCGTTACGCTTCATCTTTGGTAGGAAGAGCTGACGAAATCCTCCTTCCCATGTTCATTTTTCTTCCACTCCAATCCTCCCTCCTTCCCATATCCGTTTTCCTTACTCTTTTGCAGGACGACCTGAGAAAGGCCCTTGAAGCTTGCCGGTTGCAGGCGTCTAGGCGCAGGGGCGCACCTGCCAGCCCTGCTGGGATACAGGACTTGAGCTTCCTGCTTGACAAGGTATGTGGCGATTGATATGTAGGGGGAATTGGAGAAATGTGTTAGCATTTGTGTGCAGGCGTCTAGGCGCATGGGAACACCTACCGGGTCCGGTCCTGCTGCGATGAGGGATGTGAGCTCCCTCCCTGCTTGACAAGGTGTGTGTGGTGGGGTGAGGTGATTGATGTGAAGGGTTGCATGTGAGCTGGAAGTTGGAGCTATGTGCATGGACCTTACATATCTATATTCCAATAATGCCAATTTTACCGTTTCTGTCTTGCCTGTGCAGGTTGGCTATCTTCAGAAGCAGCTGCTTCTTGTGAACATTTTTGGTGGCAGAGTTTGAAAAAAAGCTCAGTAGGTTTAAGGACATTATTACATCCAACATTGCTGTGGCGTCGGGGATGTAGCTCAGATGGTAGAGCGCTCGCTTAGCATGCGAGAGGTATGGGGATCGAAACCCCACTTCTCCACTGTTTTCTCCTCCCTTCCAGTTTTTTGTTCCTCGTGAAAGGATGTCGCATTCCTCTAATCGTCGTTCCTTCACCCGCGGCGCTAGGCGTCTTGGCGTTTTGTTTAACGGCTAGTTGACGGAGCTTGCTGTCAGGTAGGCGCAAAATGGACATTTGCGAGTAGCGGTGTACGCTGGCCTTAGGGGCGCGTTTGACTGACCCCTCTCTCTCTGAAGCACAATGCAGCATCACCCACCGCAGTGACTTCGTGCCGACTCGGGGTGACTTAACGAACCATCGATGTGACGTCGCGAATCGTCGAGACGGCGCAACGGATTGCAGGCATACAGGGCCTTCTCGATTGGAGCGGTAGCGAGGGCCCGCGCTGCTAACCGTGACAGCGTAGCGTATCGGCCGTCGTTATAACGCGTATGGAGCAGGATCGCCGCCGACTAGTCACCCGCGCGACTGTGGTGTTCGTCGCGTTCGGCACGCGAGGGGACGTGCAGCCACTTGCGGTAGGCTCTTCCTCCTCGTCTTAGCCCCTCCTCGTCTTAGCCCCTCCTCGCTTCCCTCCCCGCCTTCCCCCTTCGTCTTTCCTCCTCGCCTTTTCCCTGCGCGACCTTCCCCCTCCTCGCTTTCCTCGCTTCTCCCCCTCCTCGCTTTCCTCGCCTTTCCCCCTCCTCGCCTTTCCCCCTCTTCGCTTTTCCCCCTCCTCGCCTCTCCCTCTTCTCGCCTTTCCGTACCTTCCCCCCTTCCCTCAAATACCCTTAACCGCCTCCTCCCCCTCTCTTGCACCCCATTCCCCCACTTTCATTCCCGCTCCGTGTAGGTGCTAGCGTTTGTAAGGCGCAATTCTCCTTCCCCCCCTTTCACCTTATTCCCCCACATTCATTCCCGCTCTGTGTAGGTGCTAGCATCAGCACTCGCCGCACAGGGGGTCAAAGATGTGATAGGAAAGGGTGCAGGAGAAGAGGGGGAGGAGGGATGGGAGGGAGAGGGGGAAAAGCGTGGAGGTTACGGGGGAAAAGAGGTCAGGGGAAGGAGGAGGAGAGAAACGTCGATGGCAGTGTGGTTTGTGACTCATCACGAGCACCAGGTGTGGTTTCCTCTTCAGGTCTCTGTTTCCTCTTCAGGTCTCTATTTCCTCTTCAGGTCTCTGTTTCCTCTTCAGGTCTCTGTTTCCTCTTCAGGTCTCTGTTTCCTCTTCAGGTCCCTGTTTCCTCTTCTGGTCTCTGTTACTGTTTCTCGAGGTATGTGATTCTAAGTATCATGTACACTTCTTCAATGTGTCGCATACGTTTCAGGCAAATAAAGATTCCGTTGTTCCACTCCCCTTTTCTTCTCTGGTGTTCCGTGCCTTCCCTGCAGCGCAGCCTTGGGCCGAGCCTAACCGCACACGGAGTGGGCTTTGTGGGAGTTTCTTCTCCTGCCTTCAAGAAACGAGAGGGCAAGGAGATGACAGAGGAGAAAGCAGAACAGGAAAGGAGGAGTGGAGAACCGTTAGAAACGAGAGAGGAGGGAGAGGGGTTAGGGGAAGTAGGGAAGGGAGAAGGGATTGGGGAAGGCGAAGGGGAAGGGGAGCGAGGGGAGGCGAAGGAGGGAGGGGAGATTGACCAGGGAAAGGGGAGAAAGCGGAGGAGGATCATTCGCTTGAGTGAAGGAAATGAAGAGGAGAACGAAGGGGGGGATACAAACGATGACGAAGAGGAGGGGTGGGGAGAAGAGGAGGAGGGGTGGGGAGAAGAGGAGGAGGGACGTCATCGCAGGGAATGCTTTGAAGCCATTAAGAAGTGCCTGGAAGCTTGTGACGGGGCAGAGGGGACGAAGGGGGCGGAGGGGGCGGAGGGGGCGGAAGAGGCGGATGATGCAGAAGGGACGAAGGGGCTGGAGGGACAAGGTGGCAGCAGCCTGAGCAGCATGGGTGACGAGCAGCCGCAAGAGACACGCAAGCTTATAGTCTTTAACCTGTTTGCCCTTGTAAGGTGCTCTGCTCCTTCCTTTCCACCCACCAGCACTGCTCCCATCAGCTCCGCCTGCAAGTCTGGGAGTTCAGGCCGTGCCATGAATAAACTCTCCGTGCCATTGCAGTATCATCCCACATGCGACTTTTGAGTCGACTCAAAAGTCACCTCATTTTGAGTCGACTAAAAGGCACCTCATTTTGAGTCGACTCAATAGTCACCATTGCAGTATAATCCCACATGCCCTTTGGTGTGCGTCGGTAAGCCTGACCTGACATGAACTCTCTGTGATTTCTTTGATGTTTGGGCTCTGTTGTGTTGTGTTGTGTTCCACGTGCCCGTATTCCTCTTGCCTGTGGTGCCTGCAGGAAGCATGGCACATAGCGGAACATTTCGAAGTCAAGTGCATGGCTGCTGCGCCCTACGTCATGCCTTACAGGTCAGAGAGAGAAGCACACTGAATCTCTCACCCGTCTCGTAGTTGCCACGACCGTTGCCCATCTCACTTCCCACGTCCTGTTCTGTGCGGTTTGCCCTGTTCTCACTTCGCATCTCATTCCCCCCCCCCCTGATCCCTACAGGCCTCCCCACCAGTTCCCTTCGCTCTTTGCTCGCAGCCACCCGTCCCTTTTCCGCCGGTTGCAACGAGCAGTTAGCCCACACGAGGTGAGTGAGAAGGTGGCTTTTGAGTCGACTCAAAAGTTGCTTCGCTCTTTGCTCGCAGCCACCCGTCCCTTTTCCGCCGGTTGCAGCAAGCAGTCAGTCAGCCCACACGAGGTGGATGTGGCTGCTTCTTACTCTCCTTCTATGCCCCCCTACCTTCTTGCCTCCTCCCCTGCCCTCATATGCCCCCGTGCCCTCATATGCCCCCATGCCCTCATATGCCCCCATGCCCTCATGTGCCCCCGTGCCCTCCCTCCCTCCCTCCCTCCCCCGCTTCTTTCCCCACCTCCTCATTCCCCCCCCTACCACCCATCCCTCATCCCCCTCTCCCAGCTATCATGGGCGGAGGTGTCAGAATGGATGTGGCCGCTGCTCACTCAACTCATATGGCCGTCCTTTCCCCTCGTTGCACTCCTCCCTTCTCCCCCCCCATCCCTCATCCCCCTCTCCCAGCTATCATGGGCGGAGGTGTCAGAATGGATGTGGCCGCTGCTCACTCAACTCATATGGCCGTCCTTTCCCCTCGTTGCACTCCTCCCTTCTCCCCCCCCATCCCTCATCCCCCTCTCCCAGCTATCATGGGCGGAGGTGTCAGAATGGATGTGGCCGCTGCTCTTCCCCTGCCACCGGTGGGCACGGTGGAGGGAAGCTTCTCTGTGCCTTCCTCCCTGCGCTCTCCTGGTTTGTCCTCCTCCCACATCCTTCAGGATGCCTTTAGGTCCTCTAGAACCTCATGTTTACGCCTTTAGGTCCTCTAGAACTTCATGTTTACGCCTTTAGGTCCTCTAGAACTTCATGTTTACGCCTTTAGGTCCTCTAGAACTTCATGTTTATGCTTTTAGGTCCTCTAGAACTTCATGTTCATGCCACCCCTCCCCCTCCCCCCCTCCTCTCCCCTCCCCCCTCCCCTCCCCGCTCCTCCTCCCCCCTCTCCCCCTCCCCCACCACTTCCCCCTCCCCTCCCCGCGCCCTCCCCTCCTGTCTCGTTTTCCTGAGTGATTTAGCACACACTGCTATTGTCGTGTGTACTTCTTTCGTACAGGGCTCAGCTAGACCGTCTTTTGAGGAGTTTTGAGGTTCCTGAAACATCGCCGCACTTTGCACCTGTGCAGTGCAATGCAGGTTCCAGTATGCAGCGACTTTTGAGGCGCCGCAAAAGACTTCTGAGGGGCCTCAAAAGTCACCTGTGCAGTGCAGGGTCCGGTATGCAGCGACTTCTGAGGCGCCTTTTGAGTCGACTCAAAAGTCACCTTGCACTTTGCACCTGTGCAGTGCCGGGTCCAGTATGCAGCGACTTTTGAGGTGCCGCAAAAGTCGTCTCTTAACCCGCAATCTTTGCACGTGTGCAGGATCCGGTAACAGATGAGCCGACCCACGAATGGCCTGCGCCCACACCCTTGCTGTACGTATGCGAACCAACATATAAGTTTCCATCCCTTATACATTCTTTATGATATATTCGTATAAATGTAGACAAGGCCGGGACTTCCAGCTTGTTCTGAAACGAGTGAAAACTCCTTGGCCCACCTCTCCCGTTAGGGCTTTTGAGAATTCTCAAAAGTCGCACCAATATAGCTGACTTCCATTTTGTGCTGAAACGTGTGAAAACTCCATGGCCCACCTCTCCCGGTAGAAATCTTTACAGTAAATGGCAACACCAGCATTATACCTTCTGATGCAGTCACTGTCTCTCGTCTTTCCCTGCCCTCCTTTTTTCTCACCTTCGCTCTTTCCCTCGTTCCCTCCTTCCCTCCTTCCCTCCTGATGCCCTCATCCTATCAGGTATGGCTTCAGCCCGGCTGTTGTCGAGTGCCCATGTGAGTATGCATGCCAGGCCATCCCATACCATACCATGTCAACACTCACAGCATGGAAAGGTTTTGGGCTCACTTTTGAGTCGACTCAAAAGTTTGTCGAGTGCCCATGTGAGTATGCTTTACATGCCATGCCAACTCAACACTCACAGCATGGCAACGTTTTGAGAATTCTCAAAAGTGATTCCCATACAGCCCGGCTGTTGTCGAGTGCCCATGTGAATATGCTATGCCTGCCATGCCATGTCAACAGTCACACAGGTGTTTTGAGTCACTACTATCAGAGGCAATAAGGCTCCCGGAAATAATCACTCCGCCACTCGAATTTGTTCGTTGAGGAAAGAATAGTCGCTCAAGAACCACCCCCTCCAGCCGCTCCCTCCTCCTGCAGCGTACTGGCGTTCATCTATCAAGGTCTATTTTCGAGGCTCCTCATGAGTCTTGTTATGAGGCGCCTCAAAACAAGACGACTCCTGCAGTGTCCTGGCGTTCATCTATCAAGGTCTATTTTCGAGGCTCCTCATAACTGGACCCCCCTCCTCCTCCTCCCACTGTCCGCCCCCCGCTCCCCTCCTCCCCCGCCCCTCCCTCCACCCCCCCTCCCTTGCAGCGTACTGGCGTGCATCTATCAAGGTCTGTGGCTTCTGGTTCCCTCCACCACACCAGGGCCTTCCATTAGATTTGCCTCCTGCAGTCCCAGCAACAGCAGCAACCGAGGCAGCAGCGGCAGCAGCCGCAGGAGCAACAACGGCACCAGCAGCAGCATCAGAAGCGCTGGAAATGGAAGCCAGAATGCGAGTTCCGTTGAGGAATCATATTGCCTCTGACAGTACCGAAGAGATGGTAAGGCGTTCCAACTGCAATGCTGCCAACGATGTATATCTCCGGGTTTCGTTTGTCTGTTTGTTTGCTTTTCTTTTGGGAGGGAGGGGGGGGGGGGTGGGCTGGAGGGGGGCGAGGGGAGGGGATGGGGGATTTCTGTTTCTCTAGCGACCCAGTTTTAGGTTCCGCAGCGCTAAATCGGCTCGTCTATTATTTGATGAGTAAAAGCCACCTCATGAGTAAAAGCCACCTCTTAAGAACATGCAATCTATTTAAGGTGAAGACTTGGAGTTTCAACGGCTCCTCACGGCCTGCTTTCCTATTTGTCATCCATCCTGTTGCTTTCCCGATGCATCTCCGCTCCCATACCCCTCTCCCATTCTCACTCTTAGCTGCTCTTCCAGTACTTCCTCCCTCCTCATTGCCAGCGAAATGTGGTGACGTTTGAGTCGACTAAAAAATCACCCCGATGCATCTCCGCTCCCATACCCCTCTCCCATTCTCACTCTTCTGTCTCTGCAGCTGCTCTACCAGTACTTCCACCCTCCTCGCGTGCTGGGCGTACCGCGTAGCCAGAACAATGTGTTCTATGTGGGCTTCAGTTCCATGGGCAGGTGGGTGATGGGCAGGTGGGTGGTGCAGGGAGCAATAGAGATGGGGTACGTTGTACCATAGCTAGCCGCATTCACTCACCGTATGCTTTCATGTCAGGCACGGCACCACCACCAGAGCGATGTGTTCTATGCGAGCTTCAGCTCTACGTATGGACAGGTGGGCATTGGAGAGGGGAATGGGGACAGGGTAGTTAGTTTCCCCATAGTCACCTATGCGGTTAAGCTTATAGTTAATGTCCTCTGTACTTAGTTTGGGATTGCGGAACTAAAGTCCAACTCAGTTATTATTCCTCGTGCCGACGATGCTTGTCGCGCATTTCTATACTTGACAGCATAGATATGCGAGACAGTATAATTGCATTGGAGTGTAGCCGAGAACAGTATCGAGCACAGCCATAAGGGATCTAGCCTGAGGCAGGAGGCAGGAGGCACGAGGCGGACTTGATGGCCAGGGAGAGGGTCGGAAGCAACTCAACGGAGGTGCGACAAGGCGAGAGTTGGACGAGAACAGCAGCGCATCATGCAGGCGAGGCGCAAGTGCGGGTGACCTGGGGAGGGAAGGGGCCAGCTGGCTGAAGATGGGCGTGTGGGGGATCCAGAGTATGAAGGGTGGAGATTCTCTCTTGTAAATAGGTAGGTTGTGGGTCTTTGATTTTGTGTGCTATGTCGGATGCATGTGAATGAGAGTAAGAGCTAGCGCAGGAGTAGAGCGAGACTCTCGTCTCATTCAATCCCGACCCTAGGCAGGATGCACCTTGTAAATAGCAACCTAGGGTCCGAATGATTGAACGAGACGAGGGTCTCGCTCTACTCCTGCGCTAGCTCTTGCTCTCATTCACATGCATCCGACATAGCACACGAAATCAAGGACTCACAACCTACCTATTTACAGGAGAAAATCTCCACTCTTCATACTCTGGATCCCCCACACACCCATCTTCAGCCAGCTGACCCATTCCCTCCCCAGGTCACCCGCGCTTGCGCCTCGCCTGCATGAGGCGCTGCTGTTCTCGTCTAACTCTCGCCTTGTCGCACCTCCGTTGAGTTGCTTCCGACCCTCTCCCTGGCCATCAAGTCCGCCTCGTGCCTCTTGCCTCGGGCTCGCTCCCTTATGGCTGTGCTCGATACTGTTCTCGGCTACACTCTAATGCAATTATTCGCGCATATCTCTGCCGTCAAGTACAGAATTGCACGACAGCTGTCGAAGTTTTCTTGCCCCATCCTTCTCCTTCTCATTCTGTCCTCTGCTGCCCCAGGTGTGCTCATGGTGAAGATGACCGCGGAGGCGTTCTGTCTTCCTCAGACGCTGTTCTTGTGTATTGTCCTTCAGACCGTCCTTGCACGGTTTTTGAATGTTATGGGTCTCCTTGCCCCCTTCCGTGGCCTGCTCAGCTCCTGCTGCGGGTCCTTAGGAACCTGATCCGACCTCTTGCCCTTGGCGCGTGCCACCCTGCTTTGCTCCTGTCCACCATCATCCCCGCAGCTAACCTCAATTTACAAGCCCCCCTCCACTCCTTCTGCGTTGCTCCTCGCCACCATCATTGCCGCAGCTGAAGCCCTCAACCTGCGAGCCGTGGTCGTGACAAGTGGCGACAGCGCATTGGAGGAGGCAGTCGCTGCAGTGTGCAGGGACGAAAAGCAGCACGTGCAGGAGCAAGAGGAGGAGTGGCGAAAAAGAGCAGCAGATTTGGTTGCAAGGGGCAGAGGCGAAATGCTGTCAGTGGATGAGAAACGGTGGCTGTTGTCCCAGCGACCATCCCAACCAACACCACCCCAATTGTCAACCTCACCGCTCTTGCCTCTCGGCCTTCCCAGGATGTTTGCGGGTGGGATGGTCCTTGCCCTTCGGGGGTGAGTCGATACCTTGTTCCTCTTTTTTTCGTCACATGCCTTTCAAGGCGAAAGCACCTCAGAATCGTCTTTGCTTGTCACATGTGTCGACTCAGATTGAACGATGCTGTTGTGTTTTCGTGTTCCATCTGTCTCACAACAGACAGACTAGTCACGTCACGGTTTGTCTGTTGTGATTTCTTAAGCAACAAAATTAAAACACAACTACTGTTGAAGTGTAGGCTACATGCTATTTTGATACATTCTGACCGCTCTACATGAATGTCAGGTTGCGTTGAGGTGTCTCAAGTCTCCTATACTGTCTTGATGCTATGTACCATTCCCCCCTTCACGCATTTCCAGCCCTGTCTCTCACGAGTGGCTCTTCCCCCGCTGCTGCTTTGTGCTGCACCATGCCGGCAGGTGGGTGGCATGGGGTTGTGGGGGATGGGAAGGGGGGAGGGATGGAGGAGGGGTGGGGGAGGGGTGGGGGACGGGAGGGAGGAGGATTGTGGGGGAGCGGTGGGGGAGGGGTGGAGAACGGATGATATCGGGCATTTCTGCAGTTGGCTGGCGCTCCCCATGCGTCCGTGTTGCTTGGCATGCTGTCCTTCTGCCCTTCATTTTCGCCTCTGCACACCCATACACTCCACCCGCCCATGCACCCACATGCACCCCTATGCACCCCCCTACACTCCCCTACACCCCCGTGCATCCTCATGCAACCCCATACACCCGCATGCATACCCATGCACCCATCTGCACCCATCAGCGCCACCACAGCAGCAGCACTGCGAGCAGGGGTGCCCTAGCCCGTCTGTCCCTTCATCCCCTTCACCCCCCCAATGCCCATATCTGTACCTTCACGCAGCCCCATGCACCCATCTCCACCCACCTGCACCCATCAGCGGCACCACAGCAGCAGCACTGCGGGCAGGCATCCCTCAGCTCCTCTGCCCCTTCATCCTCGACCAGCACTACTGGGCAGTCCAGGTCCCTCCCTCCGTCCCTTTGCCTGCATGTCTGCATCCCCCTGCACCCATCTCAGCTTATCTGTCTGCCCCGATCTGTGTATGCACCCCGATCAGCGGCACCACAGCAGCAGCACTGCGAGCAGGCGTGCCCCAGCTCCTCTGCCCCTTCATTCTCGACCAGCACTACTGGGCTCACCGCCTCTGCTACCTTGGGGTCGTCCCCCCTCCTCTCCGCCCGTCTGACCTCATGCCTGTAGAGTCGGCGCACCATTCACCAGGTGAGAATGATTGCCTAGCCGGTTAATTTCCCCCTCAGCTTCCCTGCCCCTCCTTTCATTCTCGACCAGCACTACTGGGCTCACCGCCTCTGCTACCTTGGGGTCGCCCCCCCTCCTCTCCGCCCATCGGACCTCATGCCTGCTGACTCTGCACACCAAACAACAGGTGCGTGACTGCTTGTAGAGGGTGTGGGAGGTGAGGGTAAGCACTGCACTCTGCTCGCCCCAGCTCCTCTAGGACCAGCGCTACTGGGCTCACCGCCTCGGTTTTTGAGTTGACTCAAAAAGCGACTCATTACACGTGAGGGTAAGCACTGCACTCTGCTCATCCCAGCTCCTCTAGGACCAGAGCTACTGGGCTCACCGCCTCGGCTACGTCAATGTTGCACCCATGCGATCACCCTTTCGAGGCGCCTAAAAAATGTTGCACCTGTGCGATCACCCTTTCCTTGTTGTATTCGTATATCACATCTCCAGCGTTCATCACATTTGATGTGATGGACCATGTCTCTCTGCCCATTTAGCTGGCCACACTTCATATATTGTGCATCTCACTGTACTGCACACACCTCACGTTCTTTATTCTGCATTTTGCTCTACATGTTTCTCGTTTTGCCCCATCACCTGTTCACCTTTCTGCCTCTGCTACCATATCTGTCCCAGCAGTAGCAACCGTCGTGAGTCGCTTCGCTGCTGCATTGGGTGTGGGCATGAGGGAGCGCGCACAGGAGCTATCACGAGAGATACAGACAGAGGTGCGTCTCTTGGATGACTGACGGTTGATTCTTGGGAGTGATGCTTGTGTGTCTCTAGGGTGACACTTGGTTGACAATTTCATGATTGAGTAAAAAATCACATGGGTGCCACAGATACTGGCATGATAATGCGACCCTCTATGCTGCGGGTGTGTGCTGCCGTGCTGCCATGCTGCCGTGCTGCCATGCTGCCGTGCTGCCATGCTGCCGTGCTGCCGTGCTCCCGTGAGGCCATGCTGCCGTGCTGCCATACTGCAATGCTGTGTGTGTGTGTGTGTGCCGCTGTGCCGCTGTGCTGCTGTGCTGCTCAGGATGGTGTATCAGTAGCTCTGGCTGCAATAAGGAAGGAACTACTCAAGTGATTTGCAAGGCTTCACAGCTACCGACATTCTTCATTAAGGCGCCTCTACTGTAGTACCCAAAGAGATTCAGTGACCCAAGAGCGGGGATCAAGCAGGCTAGCCAGACCACTTTGCAGGGATTTGTTGCAGTTACTCGAATCTTGTAGAAAGAGGCTGTTGTTGGTCGTCAAGTTCGTCACGGGAAAATCCGTACATTTGTCCGGAACTGGAAGGCATCTCTGACCCCCCTCACATCTTTTACTTTTACACATGATCTACACCAAAGTTTCCAGCTTTGGCATACATACATTGAGTGCCGCGACTTCAAAGGAGCCTCAAAATTTGACTTATGAGGCGCCTCACAAACCGAATCAAACCAGCTTAGACGTCCTCCTGTCCGTTACAAGAAGCGCCATGTGACGCTCATGCCTTGTCCCCCTCGTCGTCCGAATCATCCCCCCTCTCCCTGAACCTCGGGTTCTTCTGCACACAACCACCACACAAGCAGATTCCGATGCATTTAGGGTTGTTTCAGAATCGAGTGAGACCGTGGTGACTGAAGAAAAAGGGAGAGATAATTTTCAATTGTCTCACCTTTTGGTCGTCAGCAACCCCTTCTGCCCCACCCTCTCCTCCCCCTCCTCCCTTTCCTCCTTCTCCTCCCCCTCCTGCCCCTCCCTCCCTACCACCTCTCCCCTCCCCTCCTTCCCCTCTTCTCTCCTCATATCGCGCCCGCCCACCCCCGTCCCTGCCCCCTCCTCGCCTCTCTCCTCCCTCCTCCCTGCCCCCCCGTCCCTCCCTGCCCCCCCGTCCCTCCCTCCCCGCTTCTTCCATCTGCTCGTCGTCGTCTCTCCCTCTCTTCCGCATCCCACCGCCTCCTCCTCCCCCACCTCCATCTGCGATTAGGAGCGAGAAGGGGAGGGAAAAGTGGTCGTGAGTAATAGCCTCTGTAGTGTCTGTCGGTCGGTGTGATAATTCTCCCATCACACTTATCACATGTCATGATTACATACTTACAGTGATACACTTTATAAACAGAGCTGCTTACCTCTGTAGCCGCCCCGCTGCCTGTCATCCCTTGAGTAACGCTGGGCCCTCCCTGAGAGGGACAGACAGACACAATTGGGGAGATGGAATGAGATGGAGTGAGATGGAGTGAGAGCGAGAATAATGAGTGACAGCCGAGAGAGGGGGAGAGGAAACAGATAAAATGGAGAGGAGACAAGCAGAGTGGGATTATGGAGGAGTAAAAATGGGGGGAAAAGGGAGGATGGGGGGGAGTGGTAATAGGAGAGGGGGATGACAAGTCGCTAGGCCATATGGTGGCACATGGGCTATCGGAGCACAGAGGGCGAGAGAGACGTGATAAAAGTTGTATTTTGAGACGTCTCAAAATACATGTCGCTAGGCCATGTGGTGGCGCATGGGCTATCGGAGCACAGAGGGCGAGAGAGACGTGATAAAAGTTGTATTTTGAGACGTCTCAAAATACATGTCGCTAGGCCATGTGGTGGCGCATGGGCTATCGGAGCACAGAGGGCGAGAGAGGCGGCTGTCTGCTCATGTTTGCGAGTGTAGGCAACGCTATGCATGTACGGTGGCTTGCACATGGCTTGGCTTGCACATGGCTTGGCTTGCACGTGGCTTGGCTTGCACGTGGCTTGGCTTGCACGTGGCTTGGCTTGCACATGCTTGTATGACTCACTTGGTCCCGGCTGGTTCCCCAGTCACTGGCCCATGCGGTGGCTCATGGGTTGTCGCCGCACCGAGGGCAAGTGGATGAAGGAGGGAAGAACTCCCACCCCCTCCTTTTAAAAGAATGTATGGTCATGTGGTCTGTCTGTGTTAGGTGCATAGCCTTTCAGGCACTCACGGGGTCCCCGCTGGTTCCCCAGTCGTTGCTGCATGCGCTGGCTCATGGGCTGGCGGGGCACAGAGGGCGAGTGGCCAAAGGAGGGGGAATTACCATCCCTCCTCCCACCCACCAAGGGGCATGCATGGTGGTGCAGGGGGTGAGTGCAACGAGCAAAGGTGCAAGTCAAGTCAACGCCACTCACTGGGTCCCTGTTGGTTCCCCAGTCGCTGCTGCATGCGGTGGCTCATGGGCTGGCGGGGCACCGAGGGCGAGTGGCCAAAGGAGGGGGAATGACCACCCCCTTCAGGGGCATACCTATGCTTATGTATGGTGCCTTGCACATGCACTGATTACTCACGGGGCCCCTGCTGATTGCCCAGTCGCTGCTGCATGCGGTGGCTCATGGGCTGGCGGGGCACAGAGGGCGAGTGGCCAAAGGAGGGGGGCATGCCTCCCGGGCTCCCCCCCTCTCCCGGCATGAAGAGCGGCGCTCCGTACTGCTGAATGGCCGCTATCTCCTTCTGTACCAGCTTGCCGTAGCCTCCTCGCCGTGCAGTAGGGGAGGGGAGGGGAAGGGGCGCACATAGGGAGAAAGGGAAGCGCAGGGGGAAGAATCATGGGCATCCACAGCACAGAGGGGACTCCCCCCCTCTCCCGGCATGACGAGCGGCGCTCCGTACTGCTGAATGGCCACTATCTCCTTCTGTACTAGCTTGCCGTAGCCCCCTCGCCATGCAGGGAGGAAAAGAAGAGAGGGTAGGGAGCACACAAAGGGAGAGAGGAAAGTCCAAGGGGGAAGAATCATGGGCATGCACACTGCACAGCACAGAGGGGACTGCCCCCCAACCCCTCCAGGCATGAAGAGTGGCGCTCAGTACTGCTGAATGGCCGCTATCTCCTTCTGTACTAGCTTGCCGTAGCCTCCTCTCCGTGCAGTAGGGAAGCAGGGAGGGGCAGAAGGGAGGGGAAGAGGGGAAGGGCACGGGAACGATCATGGGCATACACAGCACAAATCGGCTGAGCCCCCCTCTCCCGGCATGAAAAGCGGCGCTCAGTACTGCTGAATGGCCGCTATCTCCTTCTGTACTAGCTTGCCGTATCCTCCTCGCCGTGCAGTAGGGGAGGAGATGGAGGGAAGGGATGCACAAAGAGAGAGGGGGGGCGGCAGGGGGGACAATCATGCCCCGCACTGCTGAATGGCCGCTATTTCCTTCTGTACTAACTTGCCGTAGCCCCCTCGCGGTGCAAGAGAGGAAGGGAATCGAAGGGGAGGGAGCGCACAGAAGGAGAGGGGGGAGGGCAGGGGGGACAATCAAGCTCCGTACTGCTGGATGGCAGGGTGCAGTAGCTTGCCGTACCCCCCTCGTCATGCAGTAGGGGAGAGAAAGGAGGGTGGAGAGCACAAAGGGAAAGGACGAAGGACGAAGGAGGAAGGAGGAAGGAGGAGTGGAAGGGAGGGAAGGGAAGAGGAGGGAAGGGAGGGGTGGGGAGGGGAAGAGGGAAGGGAGGGGTGGGGAGGGGAAGAGGGAAGGCCGCAGGGGAGCAAGCATGGGCATGCACAGCACAGGCAGAGTGACTGCTCACCGCCCCGCGCCGGCATGAAGAGCGGAGTGCCGTACTGCTAAATGGCTGCTACCTCCTTCTGTACTAGCTTGCCACCAAGAGCACATAAAGCTAGTAACAGGGCAAAAGAGGCACATATCTGGGTCATAGTCGGTCCGGTATTCGTCCCTGACTTGCCCTCCACTCCTCCCCCGCCCCCCCACCTTTACAGGCATGCCGTAACTAACACGCACATAAAGCTAGCAACGGGGCGAGAGAGGCACATATCTGGGTCACAGTCGGTTCGGTATTCGTCCCTGACTTGCCCGCCGCTCCTCCCCCGGCCCCCCCTTCACAGGCACGCACCAACTAACACGCACACAAAGCTAGTAATTGGGCGAGAGAGGCACAAATCTGGGTCATAGTCGGTGCGGTATTCGTCCCTGACTTGCCCTCCACTCCTCCCCCGCCCATCAAGGTGAGAGGGATGCAAGCAAGAGAGGCGAACGAAAGGCGAGAGAGGCACATATCTGGGTCGTAGTCGGTCCGGTATTCGTCCCTGACTTGCCATCCGCTCTGTCCCCGCCCACCATAAAGACGAGGGAGAGGGGAGGGAGAGATGTGACGGATAGAGGCGAGAGAGGCACATATCTGGGTCATAATCGGTGCGGTATTCGTCCCTGACTTGCCCTCCACTCCTCCCCCGCCCATCAAGGTGAGAGGGATGCAAGCAAGAGAGGCGAACGAAAGGCGAGAGAGGCACATATCTGGGTCGTAGTCGGTCCGGTATTCGTCCCTGACTTGCCATCCGCTCTGTCCCCGCCCACCATAAAGACGAGGGAGAGGGGAGGGAGAGATGTGACGGATAGAGGCGAGAGAGGCACATATCTGGGTCATAATCGGTGCGGTATTCGTCCCTGACTTGCCCGCCGCTCCTCCCCCGCCCCCACTGCCGCCCATCCTCGTAGCCCCAGTCAAAGTCCACTCTGATTGGCCGGTCGTCCAGAATCGTGCTGCTGACGTATTTCACCGCGTCCTCCGCGTCCTCCCTCACATAGTACCTGCACCAGAAACAGACAAAAGGGAGAAAAAGGGGGGTGAATTGTGTGCTGTCTCGCTTGCATGGTACCGAGACTGCGAAAAGGCAAAAAAAGAAGAGTGTTAACGGAGGAGGCAGAATGGGAGCAGGAGGGAGGAAGAAGCGAGAAGAGGAGGCGATAGGTGGAGGGGGCAGGGGACAGGGAGAGGAGAGGAAAGGGAGTTGAGGGAAGGATGGGTTGGGGGTTGGGGGGAGTTGCATGGAAAGGGGGAGGAAATGAACCAGGATGGATGGAGGGGAGAGAGGAAGTGGGGGAGAGGTGGGAAGGAAGGATCAGAGACAGCACAGCTCTCATCAAATGACGTCTCAAGCAGGTGGCGTTACTCACGCAACGAAGCAGAAGCCGCAGGGCGTCATTGTATTCTTATCGAGTCCCATTACAATGCGTCGGATTTCCCCCGCCTTGGAAAACACCTCGTAGATCTGCTCCTCCGTGGTGTAAAACGACAAGTTACCCACGTAAACCGTGGTAGACACCCTCAGCGCCTGCTCGAACTCCTCCTGCGTGCCGCGGAACCGACGGTCACGATACGCCGAGATCTGCTCTTTCTGTTTGGAGCATCGGCGCGCAGGGATGAGATGAGACGGATACGCAATGGAACGCGGGTAAGGAGGACGTGGTAAGGATGACGTGGCAGTAAGCAGGGATGGACGGAGGGTGGTCTGACGGAATTGATTCTCCGACCCCTCGGATGATAATAAGTACTCGGAAAGCTCAATTTCTGCGAAATTACCTTGAATAACCGCGACATGGCGGCGACTGACTCAGTTCCTCGCACGCAGCACTCTTGTAACACGGCTTTGAGCGGATGTGGTGGCGGGAGTGCTTCCGCTGATCAAGTTGCTACCACCAAGCGATTCAGATAAGGTACTATCAAGGGACATCCTTTGGAGTTGGTTTCCAGCAGGGTGTACCAATCAATGTTCTGAGAGGGGAGTAGCAAAACCGCTTCTAATCGCACAGCATTGTTCTCAATTGAGATGCCCTGGTGCTGAAAGTACTGTACACCCAAGTTTCAACGAAGCTGGATACAGAATGCTGACGAACCCTTTGACGAACACTTCAACGAAGCTGGATACAGAATACAGAACTATTCCAGGGTAGTGGCAATGCGAACGAAAGTTGAGAGAAGAATCCGTATGTTTTCGCCTCCTCTGATGAAAGGGCAGTTAAAGCCCGCGTCCCAAATTGCGGGCCGCGAGGGTCAAGTTTTTAAAACTTGACGAAGTTGAGTGTCCAAGCTTTTGAAAGTCACGCACTTGCAATTTGGGACTTTCGAAGACAGATTCACTCACCAGGGGGAAAACCGAGGGTTGGCTGGGTCTCGCGAAAAAACCGAACCTAGACGAAATCGGAAACTCTCGCCAAAGCCCACACCAGAAAAAACTCCCTCTGGTCAACTTTTAAAAGCATGAACAATTTGGGCTGCCGGCTTTAAGTTTGGCCGGGCCTCAAGCAAGGCTGAGATGTTACCCGTTAAAGCCCAAGACCTGAATTACTCAACGGAAGTCAACGCTAAAAACTAGGTTCAGGAGGCAGGCACGGAAAGGTTCGGTTGGGTTGCGAGAGATTTTCACTCGCGAAACCAATTTGCGACAAAAGTTTCTCGCTTCCCATGATGGTTGGTGCCCTTCCCACAACCAGAAAAGCGCGAGCTTATCAAACTGTGCACAGTTTGAGATAGCACGCAGAGTATTAGGCATAGACCATACCTGTAGACAGGGCAGGGCGTCGGCGTTCACTCAAAAGGGAGTAGATGCGCCATACGATTTGGGTGGCGCGGATTTGCAATGATGACGCGCAAAGCTAGTTTGCGCTGGGTGAAGATTATTGTGTCGAAATGCAGGTTATTGTGCAACTACTCCGTAGCGTAAACTCGTGGCGAAAATCGAATCGCAACCGTTCGCCCAAACGTGACCCTCCCCTCGCCCTCGCTTTCCTTTCCCACGCTTCCGCTCTCTTTAGCCCGCGTCGTCGCCATCGCTTCCGCAGCTCGTCGCGTGCCCGTCGCCTTCGCTCCGCCCGTCGCCTTCACTTCTCCCCCGTCGCCTTCACTCCCCCCCCTCTTCCGTTGCCTTCATTTCCCCCTCCCGTCGCCTTCACTTCCCCCTCCCGTCGCCTTCACTTCCCCCTCCCGTCGCCTTCAATTCCCCCTCCCGTCGCCTTCATTTCCCCGTCGCCTTCATTTCCCCCTCCCGTCGCCCTCATTTCCCCCTCCCGTCGCCTTCACTTCCCCCTCCCGTCACACTCGCTTCCCCACCCGTCACCTTCACTTCCCCTCCCATTGCCTTTCACTCTCTCCTGCTCAATCTCTTTCCCCCTGCTCACTCTCTTCCCCCCTGCTCACTCTCTTCCCCCCTGCTCACTCTCTTTCCCCCTGCTCACTCTCTTCCCCCCTGCTCACTCTCTTCCCCCCTGCTCACTCGCTTCCCCCCTCCTCAATCTCTTCCCCCCTGCTCACTCTCTTCCCCCCTGCTCACTCTCTTCCCCCCTGCTCACTCTCTTCCCCCCTGCTCACTCTCTTCCCCCGTGCTCACTCGCTTCCCCCCTCCTCAATCTCTTTCCCCCTGCTCACTCGCTTCCCCCCTCCTCATTCTCTTTCCCTCTGCTCACTCCCCTTGTTCTAACCCCACTTTCCCCATTTCTCACCCATTTTCCCCCTTCACGCTCTCTTACCCCCTCTGCTCGCCCCTGTTTTCCCAACTCACGCCTATACTCACTCTCTCCCCCCCTGCTCACTCTCTTCCCCCCCTGCTCACTCTCTTTCCCCTTACTCACTCTCTTTCCCCCCTTCTCACTCTCTTTCCCCCTTCACGCTCTCTTTCCCTCCCTTCCGCCCGTTGCCCCCCTTCGTCTCGCGCTCGTCCCCTCGCAATCCCCGTCTCTCTCTCCCCCCGTCGCCCTCGTTTTCCCCGTCGCCCTCCCTTCCACTCCTCGTTGCCCTCGCCATCCCTCCCTTCTCCCTTCCCATCTCGCACACTTGTCACGCCCCCTTTCCAACCCGCACATACACCCTTCCCTTCTTCCCTGTTTCCTCGTATCCCCTGCGCTGCTTCCCCCCATCCTCCGACTTGCTCCCCCCATCCCCTTCCCTGCTTCCCCCCAACCCCTTCCCTGCTCCCCCCCATCCCCTTACCTGCTTTCCCCCTTCCCCTTCCCTGCTTCCCCCCGTCCCCTTCCCTCCTTCCCCCGTCCCCCTCCCAGCATCCCCCCATCCGCTTCCCTGCTCACCCCCATCCCCTTCCCTGCTCCCCCCCATCCCCTTCCCTGCTTCCCCCTATCTCCTTCCCTGCTTCCCCCTATCGCATTCCCTGCTCACCCCTGCTCCCTCTGTTTCACCCTTGCTCCCTCTGTTTCACCCTTGCTCCCTCCCCTTCTTCTCTGCTCACTCTCTTCCCCCTTGCTCACTCTCTTTACTTCTGCTCACTCTGTTCCCCCCTGCTTCCTCTCTTCCCCTCTGTTCAATCTGTCCCCCGCTGCTTCTTCTCTTCCCCTCTGCTCATTCCGTTTACTGTCTTTCCCCCTTCACTCACCCCCATACCCCCCAATGCAGTTACAGGTGCTCAGCACCAGATGTGGCTTTACCATGGCCTGGTTTATTGCTTGCAGTGTAGCAGACAAAACCGGAAAACAACATTACACATACACCCCCTAGCTTTGTTCCCTTCTCGAGTCTGGTGATTCCCCTTACTTTACAGATACGGTAATATATTAATTGTTGAACTCCTTGGTATTGGTCATGTGTATGATTGCTCTGAGGCTCATAATCCTGTATTATAAAAAAAAAAAATCCAATATATGGCATGGCTATACGTGTGTTACTATCAGACAGCTAGCACATGCACAACCAGATGCAGAGCAGACCTGTCCAAACACAAATCAAGAAGTCAGATGTGACGTGGCTGAAGTATAAGGGAATGACAACTGGCAAATGAGGAAGGGAGGAACGGAGGAAGGGAGGAAGTGAGGAATGCAGGAATGAAGGAAGGGAGGAAGTGATGATGGGAGGAAGGGAGGTAGGGAGGACGCTTGGGGGAGAAGCAGAAGGGAGGGGAGGAAGAGAGGCTGGGGAGGAGGGTGGGGAGGAGGGTGGAGAGGAGGGTGGGGAGGAGGGTGGGGAGGAGGCTGGGGAGGAGGGTGGGGAGGAGGCTGGAGAGGAGGGTGGGGAGGAGGCTGGGGAGGAGGCTGGGGAGGAGGGTGGGGAGGAGGGTGGGGAGGAGGCTGGGGAGGAGGCTGGGGAGGAGGCTGGGGAGGAGGCTGGGGAGGAGGCTGAGGAGGAGGCTGGGGAGGAGGGTGGGGAGGAGGCTGGAGAGGAGGGTGGGGAGGAGGGTGGGGAGGAGGGTGGGGAGGAGGGTGGGGAGGAGGGTGGGGAGGAGGCTGGGGAGGAGGGTGGGGAGGAGGGTGGGGAGGAGGCTGGAGAGGAGGGTGGGGAGGAGGCTGGGGAGGAGGGTGGGGAGGAGGGTGGGGAGGAGGGTGGGGAGGAGGCTGGGGAGGAGGCTGGGGAGGAGGCTGGGGAGGAGGGTGGGGAGGAGGCTGGAGAGGAGGGTGGGGAGGAGGCTGGGGAGGAGGGTGGGGAGGAGGGTGGGGAGGAGGCTGGGGAGGAGGCTGGGGAGGAGGCTGGGGAGGAGGCTGGGGAGGAGGCTAGGGAGGAGGCTGGGGAGGAGGCTGGGGAGGAGGCTGGGGAGGAGGCTGGAGAGGAGGGTGGGGAGGAGGCTGGGGAGGAGGCTGGGGAGGAGGGTGGGGAGGAGGGTGGGGAGGAGGGTGGGGAGGAGGGTGGGGAGGAGGGTGGGGAGGAGGGTGGGGAGGAGGGTGGGAGGAGGGTGGGGAGGAGGGTGGGGAGGAGGGTGGGGAGGAGGGTGGGGAGGAGGGTGGGGAGGAGGGTGGGAGGAGGGTGGGGAGGAGGCTGGGGAGGAGGGTGGGAGGAGGCTGGGAGGAGGGTGGGGAGGAGGCTGGAGAGGAGGGTGGGGAGGAGGCTGGGGAGGAGGCTGGGGTGGGGCGGAATGGGGTGGGGCAGAAAGGGGTGGGGCGGAATGGAGTGGGGCAAAAAGGGGTGGGGCGGAATGGGGTGGGGCGGGGCGGAATGGGGTGAGGCGGATTGGGGAGATGAGGGGGATGAGGAGATGAGGGATGGGGAGGTGTTGGATGGGGAGGAGAGGGCTGGGGAGGAGAGGGATGGGGAGGTGAGGGATGAGGAGGTGAGGGATGGGGAGATGAGGGAAGGGGAGATGAGGAATGGGGAGATGAGGGAAGGGGAGATGAGGAATGGGGAGATGAGGGAAGGGGTAATGAATGAACGTGTATGCGACGGAAGGGTGCTGCTGACCACGCACCCTCCCACACCCCACGCGATGGGAAGGGATGAGAGGGTGGGCGGCATGGGTAGAGAAGCGATGGTGAAGAGGGGGAACGTGATGGGCAGGGGAGTGATGACGACGTGGAGAGAGGAGGAGAGAAGGGAGGTCGGCGGGAAGGCTAAGCGAGGACGATGGTGGCGGTGGGCGACGGTGGCGGTGGGCGACGGTGGGGAGAAGCGTGGGCGACGGTGGGGGGAAGCGTGGGCGACAGTGGGGGGAAGCGTGGGCGACGGTGGGGGGAAGCGTGGGCGACGGTGGGGGGAAGCGGGGGCGACGGTGGGGGGAAGCGTGGGCGACGGTGGAGGGAAGCGTGGGCGACGGTGGGGGGAAGCGTGGGTGACGGTGGGGGGAAGCGTGGGCGACGGTGGGGGGAAGCGTGGGCGACGGTGGGGAAAGCGTGGGTGACGGTGCTCCGAAGCGTGGGCGACGGTGGGAGGAATCGTGGGCGATGAGAGGGGAAACGTGAGGGAAGGTGGGGAAAGGCGTGAGCGACGGTGTGGGGGAAGGCCGGAGGAAGCGTGAGCGGCGATAAGGGGAAGCGACGGTGGGGGAAAGCTTGGGCGACGGTGGGAAGAGTGGGCGTGTGCGTGGGGAGGTGTGTGAGAGACGGTGGGGAGAAGCGTGGGGGACGCGGAAGGCGATAGGTCCAAATGCGATGTTTGGGAAAGAGCTAGGAATAAAAGTGAAAATGCTCATGGCCTATGCTGTAGTGGCGTTTTATTCTATCTCTTCGCATACTCTAATCGCTTCGCGTACTATGGAAATCACACGACCTGAATTACCGAAGAAGGCAAACTGTGCACATTTTGAGCCCTTGTTCCTTCAGGAGGGTGTGGTTGGGACTCTCGCCAACCAAACCTGTTCTGCTCTACGACTCTGTGTTTCTTGGCGAAATGTTTTCTGGTAACCAGCCTGGCTCGGGAGGTCAACTGTGGGTTCGGTAGGCAAACTGTGCACAGTTTGCCTTCCTTTTTTTGTAATTCAGGTCTTGGGCTTTAACGGGTCACTGAGATTGGTCTCTCATTCCTGATCTAGAGATTATCTCTGATCAGTTCATGAGCGTCGTTATTACCGCTGGAAACGCGATCCACGACAAGAGCGGACTTGTCATTATCAGTCAATTTCTGGCTCCCTGACTAACATAAGCCAGACGTCGTAATGCAGAATCAAGAATTAAGAAATATGTCTGACTCCTGACTCGTCACTCCAGCCATGGATGCTCCTAGACACTACACCTGTTCCGCAGGACCTCCTGCTCACCTGTTTGCGATAACAACCTAGAACGCCGCATCTATCGGCGGCAAGAGGTCTTAGCCACGACATTCGCTGATACTGCGTTTTTTTTTTCGTGACTTGCGGATTGATTACAAATTATTCAGGCGAAATGTCGCTGTTTGGAGGGTTCAAGCCTTCCACGCCGGCCACCGCGGGAACCCAAACTTCCGCTTTAAGCACACCCGCGACAAGCACTCCGTCAACCCTTCAACAGCAGCAGCAACAGCAGCAACAGCAGCAGCAGTTAACCCTAGCAATTCAGCAGGGCCAAGCGCATCTGCTGACGAATAACGATCCCAGTCGAGGGGGTCCGCAACCGGCGGGATTCGATACCAAGTTCAGCGAGCTACACCCGGACAGCCAGAAGATCCTGACCCACATAGAGTGAGTGTTTTCTGGAATCACAATAGCGAGCCTGACTATATGGAGGTCATAGACAGCCAGAAGATCCTGACGCACATAGAGTGAGTGTTTTCCGTTTAATCCGTTTAACTGACCTCCTGCCATCCGTTATAGAGAGGTCGCCATTGCTGTACCTTAGGAGGAAGGCGTGTGATTTCCGCACACTGAATTACGGACTCGAGTAAACAGTTCGGTTTCCCCTTTTTTCTGACCTAATCCCCCCTTCCCCTGCTCTAAGAGCAAGACGTCGGGCTTGGCGTGCCGAATGAGCAAGTAGCAAGGTGTTGGAATGAGGTTACAATTTCCATTAGTTATTTTAAATCCAATTTCTCGTTTTCCTGCCATCAGGAGCAACCCATTGGAGCTGCGAGCCGAAAGCCAGGTGCAAGTTTCTGGAGTAACATTACAAAATTCTATAGTATTTTCAACCCATTTCCTCGTTTCCCCTGCTGTCAGGAGCAAGATATTGGAGCTGCGCGCGGAGAGCCAGGTGCAGAGTGTTGGAGTAAAATTACACGTTTCATTAGTTTCATTTAATCCAATTCCTCGTTTCCCCGGTCTTCAGGAGCAAGATATTGGAGCTGCGAGCCGAGAGCCAGAGGCTTGGGCAATCCAGTCGGCTGCATGATGGCTCACAGTTGGCGGACAACCCGTTTGAACGGCAGGCGGCTAGAGTCAGCCAGGTGGGCAGCGGTTATGTGCGGCTGATTTGTGTTATTGCCATGGAGAGGTGTGGCTGACAGATTATTCACGATTGGCGGCCAACACGGTTGAGTGGTATCCAGCTGGCTGGTTTGAGTTGGTCTTTAGCTGGTCCGCATAGCTGGCGTGTGAATATGGCTGACGTGGATAGCTGACTTGGATTCGGAGCAGTGCATGAGTTTTTTTCCGCAGCTTCTCCCTCCATTACCACCCTCTCTTCCCCACTGCATATTCTTCTTATCTCCTCCTGCCTTTCTTTCGCCCTCTCCCTCTTCCAGAGCTTCTCGCACGTGGCATCACGGATGGACATGGAGAGAGCATCCCTCCACCACATGCTGCACACGGCGCAGCACCTGCTGCACCACAGCCCCCCCTGCTGCTGACCAAGCTGTGCATTTCCCCCCTCTCTAACCCTCCTTTACCGCCCTCCAGAGCCTCTCACACGTGGCATCAAGGGTGGACACAGAGCGGGCGTCCCTGCACCACATGCTGCACACCGCGCAGCACCTGCTGCACCACAGCGACCTGGCAGTGCGCTCCTTCTCCCTCCTCCGCTCGCGGTTCCCCCACCTCCCTGGAGCAGACTCGCTGGCACCAGGTGCGCCTTCAGACTTGTGCTGTATCCCGGTTCTGCTAAAATCCGCCGATCAGTCCACCTCTCTGAGCCAACCCAACTGCACCAGTAACTTCAGTTCGCAAACCCCGTATGTTTCGCCTTAAAACACACCAATTTCCCCACCTCCCTGAGCCAACCTAGCGGCACCAGGTATGAAATCCGCGTGTAGTGAGGCGATTTTTTAGGCTCCCAATCAATCACCTCCCTGAGCCGACCCTGCTGTATTACGATATCCCTGAATCGACTTAAAACATGCTGATTCCCTCAACCCCCCCAGGGCAAGCGGACATCTACCAGGGGGTGCCCTGCCTGCCATCGCCCTTCCTCATCAACACAGTCGCTCGCTTTGAAGTCAAGATAGTAGAGTACCGCCACAAGCTCACCGAGCTCCCCCTCTCCCCCCTCAACCTCCCCGTCATAACCCCCAGGGCAAGCGGACATCTACCGGGGCGTGCCGTGCCTGCCGTCGCCCTTCCTCATCGACACAGTCGCTCGCTTTGAAGTTAAAGTAACAGAGTACCGCCACAAGCTCACCGAGCTCCAGGCAGCCATCGAACCAGCCCTGGCAGACTCCAGGTTCGGCGTCGGGTACTCCCGAGCCGCGTCGGCAGCTTCGGCGGCAGCAGCGGTTGAGGCTCTCCCTGTGATTATAAAGAATCTGCATGATTTTTTCATACATGTAGCAGCTCAGGTGGAGAGGGTACATGAGAGGGTGGATGCGGCAAGGAATGCGTTTCTGGCGGAGAGGCGGAGGAGGGGCGACTGGAGTAATCCGTTTGCAGAGGCAGACCGGATTGAGGCTGCTGCTACTGCCAGTAAGAAACCCTCCCTGCTCGGCTCTGCTGCTGGCGTTGGTACTGGTGCTGCTGGTGGTGCTGCCGGTGCTCCTGGTGCAGGAGGTACAGGCAGTGGGATTCTTTCCTCTCCGCTCTCCCTCCTTCCCGGAACCACCACTCCCGGCGCCTCCCCAAACCCTACCGGGCTCTTCCCCTCCTCCACCTCCACCACACCATCCCTCTTCGGTTCCACCACCCCAGCCACCGCCACCACCCCTGGTCTCTCCCTCTTCGGTACCCCCCCTGCCTCTGCTGTAGCAGGCAGCTCCCCAGGCACCTCTCTCTTTGGCACCCCCACCCCATCTCTCTTCGGCAGTGCCACTCCTGGTGCCGCTGCTGCTGCAGCATCCACCCCTGCTCTCTCGTTCGGCAACCCTGCCACTCCTGCCACTGGAACCACGTCTCTCTTCGGCGCTCCGAACCCGGCAGCAGCAGGCTCGTCCCCCGGCTCCTCTCTCTTTGGGAACACCTCGGCTTTCGGCGCCGGCGCATCTGCCTTTGGAGCAACCCCAGGAGCAGCAGGAGCGGCCGCAAGCACCCCGTCGCTGTTTGGGTCCCCGGCTGGTCCCACAACCGGGGGTCTGTTCGGAGCAACGCCAGCAGCAGCGTCGCCTTTCGGTGCTCCCGCTGCTTCGCCGTTCGGTGCTGCTGGGGGACCCTCGCCGTCGCCGTTTGGAGCAGCGGCGTCGGCTCCTGGCACATCGCTGTTTGGTGCTCCTGCTGGGGGTACGGCAGCTGGATCTGGCGGCTTGTTTGGTATGTACCACGCTTTTTTAGAATTCTCAAAAAACAGAGTCAGCCTGACACCCCCCTCTCTCGATTTGTGCTGGGGGGGAGTGCAGCAGCTGGATCTGGCGGCTTGTTTTGTAACAACCGTTTTTTTTATGATGGTTGCGGTTTTTCAATTGTCGATGTTTGTGCCTGTTGGTGTATGCATATCGCTCTTCTGAAGTTTGCTTGTCAATGTTTTATGTTTGTGTGTGTGCTTTTTTTTTTTTGTCAACAGGTGCTCCTGCCACTCCGACACTTCAGCCGGCTGCCCCGATGCCTTCTGGTTTTGGCAACACAACTCAAACGGTGAGCTCATACTCAGTGTTTCTTTCTGTCTTTTATTTTATTTTATTTTATTCTTCCCCATCTTTTATTTTTTTCCCCTGCACATGTCGTGTTCGCAGTACGTGATCGCAGATTTATTTTTAATGATGTTATCCTGATTTGTTTTCTGTCCCTTGCAGACCACTACCCGTTCAAAGTCGCGGGGCTCCTCCAGAAGACGCTAAGAGGACACTAAGATTTCTATATAGACATAAGACAGCCAATCTGCCAGTGCGCTTTAGAAGGGGATGCTATTAGAAAATTTTGCTTTCACATCCTAGGTGCCTAAGAGCGTTTTTTTTTTTTTTTTTTTTTTTTTTTTTTTTTTTTTTTTTTTTTTTTTTTTTTTTTGGGATGTATTTCACTAAACAATGCATACACCCACAGTCGTAACTGGAGGGAAAGGAAGGCACATATAGACATGTGGTTGTCTATCATGGCCCTCCTGTGCCACCTCATGGTGGCTTAAAGAAGGTGCTAGGTCTGTCCCAGATGGACTTGAAATTATCGTTCCACGTCAGCAGTTCGTCACCTCCGCAAATCCTTTCCAGCGCTGTCACCTCCCTGGCTGACAAATGTTGCCACCTTCCTTCGTTTCTGTCCACTTGCTGGTCCCCAACATTGCGCCGCCCCTCACTGTATATCCGAACATGTCTCGCAAAATCAGCCCCAATCTTCCTGACCACTCGCTTGGGCTCGAACGTTTTTTTCCGGAAAACTGCGTCGCACCTCTCCCGCCAAATGTGCCTGAAGGTAACTGCAATGAGCGTGGATTCCGGGAATCCTGACACCGTGCTGTCATCAGCAAAGAGCAGCTCCTCCAGTGACCCAACCTGCCTGTTTGGATTGATCAACCAGAGCGAGTCCTGCAGCGCGCCGCACACCCCGCTGACCATTGGACAGCTCATCAGGCAGTGTGTTGATGATTCCTCTTGTCCACAGTACGGGCAGCATGCACGAGGGCCAAGGAAAGCCACCCTGCTCCCTACTTGCAGGTTGTTGCTGTGCAGCCTTAGCAGAATTTCCCTCGCCTTGGCTGGAATTGCCAGCGAGTCCCTCTTTGCAATGACCTTCCCCCAGTCGATCTTCCTTCCCCACGCCTCTTCCCACTTCCTCTGCTGCTTTGTTGCTCATACGGCTTCTTGAACAGGTGTCTCAGCTTCCTCTGCGCAGTAGGTTTTCCTCCCTCACACAGGAAAGAGGCCCGTAGCCGTGCAGCTGGGTCTCCCATCTGCCCCAGCATCCGGCCATCACGGACTACCATAGGAGTTAGTATCCCCAGCATCGTCGGCGGCTGAACCACTTCCTCTAGTTGTCGTACCCATCCTTTGTATCCACTGTTACCAGTTCACACTGCAGCTCCTTCGTTTCCGTCAGCGCCACCTGAAGGTAGCTATTTCTCACACCCACATCTCTCCCCACTCTGACTAGTGTGGATGCTTCCGCAATAGACTCCGCTGAGACTTTCGTCAATAATTTCTCCTTCCAGTTCTCCGGCACCGCTTTCCAGGCTTGGAGCGCCCATCTCGCCGTGGTTGATCGGCCGGTTTGTTTCGTTAGCTCCCACATGTCCTTGACACGCCATCCGCCTCCGTACTCTTCCTGTAGCAGGTCTCCTACCGTCAGCCCCCTTAGGCATTCCGACCCCTTCTGCCTGCCGAACGGGCTGTCCCCTTGGTAGTGGATCCACTTGCTGAACCATGGTTGCTCTCTCTCCATCTCCCAACGGTTATTAGGCTCCGGCATCTCCGGCAGCTGCTTGTCCCAGACCAGAGGGATAAGTGACTTCCATCTTCCGCTTCCACATATCCACTTTGCAAGTATCGCCTTGTGAGCTAGTAGCGTTGCCCATCCCAGGGGCATATTCGCCGCCTTCTCTTGCAGCCATTGTTTCATCGGATTCTTCTCCAGCAGCACCGCTCCCAGGTTCCACAGTGCCTGACCGTTAACTCTTTCTTTTGGGCTAATCACCCCTAACCCTCCTTCTTTCCTCCCCAGGTGCGCCAAGAACTCACTCCAGAGGATAAAATGTTTCTCCTCATCCGCACACCCCTTTGAGATGAAATTGTGGCACAGCTTCAGGATCTTTTTCCAGACCTGCTTCGGTGGCTGATACACCTGAGCTTGGAACAGGACTATCGGCATCACGTAGGCATTCAAGACCGTCACCCGCGCTGATGTAGTGATGTGCAGCTTCTCCCAGTTGATGAGAACAGTGTTGACCCGTATTAGTGTTCTGTCCCAAGTAGGCTCTGCTCTCCCATCCGATGTAATCCAGATGCCTAATAACCTCTCTGGTTTTCCTCTTTCAGCCCAGTTGAAGTCCATGTCTGTAGGCGGGGGATTCGGTCTGTTCCTCCCCAATGGCATCACCGTCCACTTTCCACGGTTTACACGCAGTCCCGACCTGTCACCAAAGTCGTCCAGTAGGCGTTGCGCTTGCTTGAGTTGCTCTTTTCCTTGGAGTAGCAACGTTGTATCATCCGCATATCCAAGATATGCTAACCCGTCTTTCCCTCTCTTCCTCAGCCCCAATTTCCTTTTCTCCGCTTCTTGACTTAGTGGTTCCGCTGCGCAGATGAAAAGATATGGCGCCAGCGGGCATCCCTGTCTTACCCCAGATTCCACCTCCACTCTGTCACTCAGCCATCCATTGACTAACAGTTGCGTCGCAGATTGATCATGAAGCCCCTTGGTCCACCCGATGAAAACTGCAGGGAAGCCCATGCGCTCCAATGTGCGAAACAGGTAACTCCTTGACACTGAGTCATACGCTTTCTGAAAGTCGACAAGTAGTAAATACCAGTCTTCCTTCCCGGTCACCGCCGCATCAATTGTGTCAGCTACCACTTTGACCGCATCCACCAATCGTCTGCCAGGAACGAAGCCAAACTGGTTCTCAGAGATTACTTGCGGCAAAACCTTCTTCATCCTGTTCGCTAGTAGTTTTGCTACTATCTTGTATGTCGCCCCAAGTAGAGTGATCGGTCTGTAGTTCCCCAAATCTGTCTTTTCCCCTTTCTTATGTAGCAGTATCGTCACTGCCGTCGATGCGGTTTTCGGGAGAGTTGCTGTTTTCTCAAAGTCCCTCATGAAGTTCATGACTGCCTCCCCCAGCAGGTCCCAATTATCCTCCAGGAGCTCCTTCGGCAGGCCATCTGCTCCAGGCGCTTTCCCACGCGGTAGCTCTTTCATCGCCTGTCTGACCTCCGCTTCCGACCATGGCGCTGAGAGACGCAACTTCGCTTCTGCATCCAGAGTTTTCGTGGGAGCCACCAACCACTCATCCACCTCTGCAACATGCTGCTTCGACTCAAAGAGTTTGGTGAAGAAATCTGACGCCGCCGTCAGAACCTCCCTCTCCCCCTCATATCTCTTCCCCTCATACGTAATTTCTTTAATCGTCGTCTTCGCCTTCCGTGCTGTTATTCTCCGGGTCAGAAACTTTGTCGCAATTTCACCATTCATTTCCGCTCCGACGCCTGCCATCGTCTGCTTCCTCCTCCTCTGGCTATCTCGATACGCTTTAAGCTGTGCCTCGTATTTGATAAGCTCCTCGTACTTCCCACCCAGACTCGAGTCCGCCATGAACTCCTGTCTTAAAGCCGCCACTCTATCCTCCAAATGTGAAATCGTTCTCCCTATCCTTTTCCTCTCCTCCCGTGCATGTGCTTTAAGACTTGCTTGTATCGCAGTGAGCGTGGAGTGTAGATCCGTTTTCCCCTTTTCCCCTTGATTGCTCAGCACTCGCCGAATGGATTTGCGTACTCCAGGATGCTTCGTCTGCGCCGCATCCATCCTCCATAATCCAGGACCGTGCGTTTCCCCCGTCTGAGCTAACAGTAGTGTGGTGATCCCGAACCAGTGATCTGTGACATCTGATGGAGCTGCTGTGTGATAGGCGTCGGCGACCAGAGGAAGCAGAGAGGCCGATGCAAGCGCACGGTCAATGCGCGAGCTAGTCATAGTCGCTCTCGCCAGAAAGGTAAATTCTTGACGCGAAGGGTATAGCGTCCGAAACGTGTCATGTAAGTCCCATTTCGAGCAGATGTGTAACATTCTTTTATTCTCTGCCTCCGATCCCTGCTGCGACGTTCTGTCCATGATAGGATCCGCGATAATGTTCAAGTCACCTGTGAGGAGCACATGTCCAGGCTGTGTTAGAGAGTCCACGAAGGGAGTCAAACTATCTCTAAAGAAACTCCCTCTGATTGTTGCTTGCGCAGGAAAATACGCCGCTAACAGCATCCAGGTCAGCTGCCTCCAACACACCGTCACCGATAAAAGCCTCCCTGATACATGCTCCAGAGTGTTGCTGAAGACAACCTCCTTACTAAAACTAAGGACCGCCACTCCTCCCGCTGACTCCCCTGGGGCTACTACTGCTGTTGCTTCTGCTCCTACTTGAGTCCAGAAGTTGTGATCAGCCGGTAATCTGGTATCAGTAAGTACAACCACACCCCTGACCTTCTGAGGCCATTCCTGCAGATTCTCCCTCTTCACCGCGTTTCCAAGTCCATTCACATTAAGCGCGGTGATGCTGAGTTCATGGCGTTTATTCATTAATCCACTGATGTGAACCCCTCTGCATCCACGGGTTGTAAGACTTAGTTGTTGTGAGCAGCTCGTCAGCTTCCGATCTTATCATTGCACCCATCCACCGATCCAGAAAACGTGTTAAAAGCATAATCCCACACAGCACAGCCATCGCTACCGAGGCGCTAACCACAGCTCCGCATACTATCACTTCATGATACTTGTGAAGACTAGCATCCAGCTTACACTCCCACTCCGTTATTGCTCCCCCCACTCTTCCGCAGATCATTTGAGGAACTCCTTCTTGAGTGCTGCAATGTTGATCGCTCCCTTGCTGTTGCGTGTGGCTGCACCTGCGGTGGTCAAGTTGGTTGTGTGGCGTACTGACGCGACATGTGCAGCTGCAAGTTCCAGACTGCTGCCGTGTGCCTTGCCGCAGGCCTCGATAACACAGACCCAGTCCTCTCGAGACTCTCCAGTCGAGGTAAGAACAATGGCCGGGTCCAGCAGGATCACTTTCAGTGAGTCTGTGACTTTCAGTGAGGCCGCTGCGGGGAGGAGAGGAGAGAGCAAGGTCAGTATCATGGAAAGAGAGAAAGGCGAGACAGTCCGTGCATAGCATAGAAACAGGAGTACCGTTGACTTCATGGATACGTTTAACCGTGAGGTTCCATTTAGCAATGTTAGCCTGACGGTCAGTGACGTAGTCATCGTGGTAGCGCGTCATATGATGCCCGTTGCAGTAGTCGCAGTTGAGCGAAGGGAAGTGCAGCAGCAGCTTCTTTCCATTCATTGCAGGGTCCAGGATAAAGTGTCGCCAGCGGTAAGGGTCATTCTCATGCTGCACCAGGAGACCCTTAATCTTGTCTGTGTCCATTCCCGTAACCGGGTCTTGCACTCGGTGAAAACCATAAGCTTCCTTAAAAGGTGGCCTCCCCCTCTTAACCAACCACACCATCACCAGGAATTTCTTGATCCGCTCCGGGGTCAGCTCAGCCGGGACACCCTTCAACACCACTTCAAAGGCCTTCGGATAGAGGTTACGCGCTCGGATGTAATATGCATTCTCAGGGAACTGCCAGCCCAGCTTCAAGGGGGTTCCGTCAGCACAATCGTGAGCAACAGCACGCTTCCAGACGAACGCAGCATCCTTCTCACGAAAAAAGGTAACCTGAATACGTCCAAACCGCTCCTTTGACAGGTAGGTAGGGAGAAGCTTCTGAAACTTCGTTGTAGTCAACACATCTGCCGAAAGTTCCTTCTTCCAGTGAACCAGATGAGCAATGACCGAGTCCATTGTCCGCGGGACTTCTTCAATGTGCTTATCTGGGATCAAAAGCGTTAGCGGGTAACAAATCTGAGCAGCAACAAGACCAGCCATAACAGGATCCGCTTCTTCATCAGAGTCGTCGCTGAGGTAACCAGCGCCGTCAGCACCCTCTTCTTCATCATCAATGAAATCAGCGTCCGGTTCAGCAGTTGGCGACAGAGGCTCAGGCAGCCGTGACTCAGTAGGTTGCTCATGTTCATTGACCGAGTCCTCCTCCAATCCCTTGCCTTTCATTGCAGAAAGCCTGGCAGCAGCCATCGATGATGATTCCGGGCGATCCATATGAACAGGCGGTGACAACGGATCGCCAGCAGCATCCTTGACCTCTTTCGCACCGTCAGTCTTCATTGGCGAAACTGGAGCACTGAAGTTCCGTCCCTTAGTACCAGGCTTGGCGTTAGCCTTCTGGGTCCTTCCCTTCGGCGGCATAATGCTGGGTAGTAAAAACAGCTGATGTAGATCTGGTTGTTTGATAATGAAGGGTGAGCCTTTGAGTGCCATCTTATATGTTGTTAGCCGTGTTGTCAAAAGACCCCTGGTAATGTCTCCTTTGTCAATCAGTAGGCAGCGCAAGTCCCTGGAGCCCCGTGTCGCATTTCCTTGGGAAGTCCAAGGATGTTCACTGGGTGCGTAACCTTGGGAGTTAACAGCCTCGGGATCCACTGAAGATTGATAAGCTTGAAACATGTTCGCTGTATGAACACAATTTGTTAACTCGCTTATAGATGAAGAATGGATAAGAGCGTGTCCGAAGTGAAGCGTCGAATGGATGTCGATGGATGTCGGTAAACGTCAACCCTCGGATCGAGAATTCCAACCGTCAAGATTTACCGACATCGGATGTCAACGGATGTCGACTTCACTTCGGACCCGCCCTAATCTCGAGGCATTGACTGGTGAAGCAACTTGTTTGGTTTCCGTTGCCACGGAGGTTTTTGCACGTAGTTTATGCGGGCAAGAGTAACTCATCAGCCCCCTGATGTCGGAGGGACGCGCTAAAAGCGTGAATGTGTGACGTGGCGTTAAACAGATGCAGGCCCTTGTCATGTCACTGGTACATTGAGGATACTTGGGTCGTTGCCTGTTTCTTTCCAGGGTCAACTCAAAATCCGCTCGTGGTAGTTTCCTGTCCAATCCAAATCGTGCAAGCCCAGTCCCCAGGCTCATCTTCGCAAACGGCTTGTGTGGCTTCTGCCCGCTTCCCCGTTTCATCCCTTCCCCCAAACCTAGCGCACATTCACCCTTCGCTACAGCGACACCTCAACCACATCACATCACAAGGAGAGCCAGAGAATCGACCGTATTGAAGCACACGTTACCAAAATCAAAATAGCAAAACCATATGATAACACACTATACCACACCACGCACCGCACCACAGAGTTCAGAGCAAGCTAGTGCCTAGATACTAGTTCTTCGGGGCGTTTATCCGCCTTCCACATAGATATGTCACATCTCCGTAAGGCAACCCTAAATTCCGCCATACACCACGCTTTCCAAGCGTAGGTGATTCATGCTGCTCCTGCGCTAGACGTTGGCCTTGCGCTATGCACTTCTAGAGTCTAGGGTCGCCGTCTTCTTATATTCTTCGTACATACGTAATACTCTCGCTTCCTGTGCTATGACGAGCTTGCTTAGCACCGGGATTTGCGGTCCGCCAAGAGTGCATAGCAGACAAGCCTCGGATCTTTTCTCCGATCTTCACAAACGGTTAGCCTGCGCGAGAGCGACGCGACCGTTTCCCCGATGCGCCTCGACGCGCGGGGTCCTTAGAATCCTCTCCAGTGCCGATAGAAGCGGCGACGCCTCCCCGCCGGATGATTCTCCCGAGCCTGTTCCCGCGTCATGCGGTTCGTTCTCCGCGGCTTCCGCGAATATTCCCCCTTCTCGGGTTATCCTGGTGCAATCCAGCTCCGTAGGAAACGCCAGCGCATCCGACGGCGAAGCTTCTTCGGGAGCTTCGAATCCCGAGGCCAGCGGCTTACGTCCGCAGCAACAGGACCCGAAACAGCCTAACTCGCAGCAGCATCAGCAGCAGCAGCTCTCACAGATTCAAAAAGGGAATTTAAGTCCAGCCGGGTCGAAAAGCGACAAGGCGACGTCCGACGGAAGAAAAGCGCAAGGCACGTCATCGAAACCAAACGGCGCGGGGAAGGACGGGAGGCGCGGCTCGCAGCGGCCGTCGCGGCGAGGCAGCGACGACAGCTCCCCGTGGTGGCGGAAACTTATCCTGGGGATTCTCCCAGATCTGAAGCTTCTCACGTTTTTGGTGACGAATCTGGTGGTTCTGATGCTCTCTGCTCGGATTCTTAGCTCGCACCCGCTCGTCGTGAAACGCGCGGCGCGCCGTTTCGGGTTACTTCCAAAGACCGTCGTTGTAACCCTGGAAAAGTGGGGGTTACCGGCGAATACCCTGGTGTCTGACGAGGCGGCGTCTGCTGGTTCTGATGCTGGCAGTGCGGGTTTAGATGCGAAGGAGCGGCAGCAGCGGCAGCAGCTGCAGAAGCAGCAGCAGGAGCAGCAGGAGACGACTCGAATTTCCTTCTCCATCACTGTTCCGTTTTCGGAGTTTCTTTACCACGTGAAGAAGGACAATATCGTGTCGATTACTGTAGACGGCGACAAGGTGTCGTTCGTCCTGCGACGCCCCGAGTTCGCCAAAGGGCACAAGGCGACGGAGTTACAACCCATGATTCGCCAAGTGGAAAGAATGGCAGAGAGCAAGTGGAAGGAGGCGGGGGAAGTTTCTGGGAAGAAGGTGGGGAAGATGCCACCTGTCCAAGTGCAGCTGACTACCGTGAAGCCTGCTGACGTGGCGGTCCCGTACGCGGAGCTCATGTCACGCCACGTAGAGTTTGGTGCTCCGGATAAGGCGTCGTTTAAACTCGTGAATACGATTTCGGTGAGCAGTCATGGGGAAAGGGGTGGGGGGAGGGGGGAGAAAGGGGAGAAGGGGGAGAGGAGGGGGGGGAGGGGGGGGGGAGGGGGGACGAGGGAGAGGGGGAGAAGTCTAGTGAGGGTATGTGAGTGAGGGTGGGGCGGGTGCTCTGCCTGAGGCGTCGTTCAAGCTCGGGAATACCATCTTGGTGAGCAGTCAATGGGAGAGGGGGGAAAGGGGGGAGAAAGGGGGAAACGGGGAGAGAGGGGGGAAAGGGGGGAGAAAGGGGGAAACGGGGAGAGAGGGGGGAAAGGGGGGAGAAAGGGGGAAACGGGGAGAGAGGGGAAAGGGGGGAGAGGGGAAAGGGGGGGAGAAAGGGGGGAGAAAGGGGGAAACGGGGAGAGAGGGGAAAGGGGGGAGAAAGGGGGAAACGGGGAGAGAGGGGAAAGTGTAGTGAGAATATACGAGTGGGGGTGGAATTCGTGTGTGTGGAGCGGGGACGTCTGAGGGCAGTGCAGCCATGTGAGGGAGTGTGTGTGGAGTGGGGACGTGTGCAGAGAGGGTGGTGTGGTGAGAGTGTGTGTGTGTGTGTGTGGTAAGTGTGTGTGTGGTGATGATTTTCAGTCTCACTCCTTTCTTTTTCTTATCTTTCCCGTTGCCATGCCCTCCTTGCCATGCCCTCGCATCTGCGTCCCTGCACTATCCTTCCCAGTCCACTCTCCTGTACGCAGGCATAGCAGCGGTCGTGCTCTCGCGCTTGCAAATGAAGCTCCCACAGGTTAGTGAAGGGATTCGCGTATGAGGTGAGTTAAGTCGCGAGGGGGCGATTTTTGAGTCGACTCAAAAAGCGATTCATCACACGCGCACAGGTTAGTGAAGGGATTCGCGTACGAGGTGAGTTAAGTCGCGAGGGGGCGATTTTTGAGTCGACTCAAAAAGCGACTCATCACACGCGCACAGGTTAGTGAAGGGATCAGCGTATGAGGTGAGTTAAGTCGCGAGGGGGCGATTGACAGGTGGTGGAATCCGCATGGGGGCATTCGATGCACGCCGCTCGACTCCACTCCACTCCACTCCACTCCACTCTGCTGCTGGGCCCTGTCTCTCCACATATAATGTGCGTTTGCTGAGACAATTTTCTTAAGGGGGCATTTGATGCACGCAGCACGCTACTCCATTCCACTCTGCTGCTGGCTCTCCACTCCACATATAATCCGCGTGTGATGAAAAAAAGAAATAGTTTACTCAAAAGCCTTTCTTAAAAGGGTGCTCGATGCACGCCACTCCACTCTGCTGCTGGCTGTTATAAGTGCGTTAATGCCGTATCGTTTGCTTTCACTCATCCACCCATCCTCCCATCTGATGTCCGTCCCAACTCTGTCCGTCCCAACTCTGCCCATCCATTTCTCCACGTGGCATGGCAATTCATCTTTTTCTCCATCCTTCCATGTGGCATGCCATTCAAACTCTGTCCATCCTTTCATCCACGTGGCATGTCCAAAGTTTGGGGGTAAGGCACGCAGTCAGAAGGGAAAGGCGCCGCCAGTGCTGTTTGCTGACGTGGCAGGGGTGGATGAGGCGAAAGAGGAGCTAGAGGAGATCGTGGTAAGTGGGCCGAGTGTTGGTGAAGGGGGAGGGGGAGGGGAAGGGAGGGGAGGGGAGGGGAGGGGAGGGGAGGGGAGGGGAGGGGAGAGGAGGGAGGGTGTGGGCTATATGGGGGTGGATGAGGCGAAAGAGGAATTGGAGGAGATCTTGGTAAGTGGTGGGACGAAGGGGTGGGGCGAGTGTGTGAAGGAGGGTCTCCTTTCCTATCTCTTCCCCCTACTTTATCTCCCCTGGTGACTCATTGTCCAGCTTTCTTCTCTCATCCTTGCTTCGAAATCCGAGGAGGACCTTTGTGCCGCCGAAGCTTGACTGATTAAACACTTTATCTCCCCTATCTGGTGACTTTTGAGTCGACTCAAAAGTCAGCTTTACTGATTAAACACTTTATCTCCCCTATCTGGTTTCTTCTTCATCTATTTCATTCTTGCCTCTCTCTCTCCTCCTCCTTTCGCCACCCCAGGGGCACCTTAGCACGCCTAGGCTTTACTAAATAAAATCCGGTTCTTTTGGTTTCTGCTTCATCTCCTTTTTTGCTTCTCCCCGCCCCGCCCCGCCTCACCACCCCAGGAGTATCTCCGCACGCCGGAGCGTTTCACTCGACTGGGGGCCAGACCTCCCAGAGGAGTGCTGCTGGTGAGGGCGTGTGCTGTGCTGCTGGTGAGGGCGTGTGCTGTGCTGCTGGTGAGGGCGTGTGCTGTGCTGCTGGTGAGGGCGGTGCTGTGCTGCTGGTGAGGGCGTGTGCTGTGCTGCTGGTGAGGGCGTGTGCTGTGCTGCTGGTGAGGGCGTGTGCTGTGCTGCTGGTGAGGGCGTGTGCTGTGCTGCTGGTGAGGGCGTGTGCTGTGCTGCTGGTGAGGGCGTGTGCTGTGCTGCTGGTGAGGGCGTGTGCTGTGCTGCTGGTGAGGGCGTGTGCTGTGCTGCTGGTGAGGGCGTGTGCTGTGCTGCTGGTGAGGGCGTGTGCTGTGCTGCTGGTGAGGGCGTGTGCTGTGCTGCTGGTGAGGGCGTGTGCTGTGCTGCCTGCTGGCTCATGGTTCCCTCACACAATGTTGCTTTCTTGCTTGTATGCTTTTCCACCTTCAGTGGCGTGGTCTCAAATTTGATGCTTTCGAGTGAGTCCTACTCATCGTTATGGCTTCTTAGGAGCCCAATCTAAGTCGTAACCAAATTAGCGAACGCAGAAGTTTCCTCAGCTAAACCTCCTCTGGCCTTTTTCCCCTGTTTGCCGAGCCTGCCTTTCAGGTTGGGCCGCCAGGCACGGGAAAGACGATGCTGGCCAAGGCAGTGGCTGGGGAGGCAGACGTACCCTTTATAAGCTGCAGCGGTAGCGAGTTTGTGGAGCTGTATGTGGGCCTGGGTGCGTCGCGAGTGAGAGAGCTGTTCGCGCAGGCAAAGAAGGACTCGCCGTCTATCGTGTTTATTGATGAGGTGAGCTTGTAACGGGTTCTGCTTATAGTGAGAGAGTGATAGTGACTGGGCCAGAGGACTTTTGAGTAGACTTCAGAGCTGTTTGCACGCATATAGAAGGGCTCGCCCCCCATCTTGTTGATTGATGAGGTGAGTGTATGGCAGGACCGGGTTACGCCTCGAAAGAAAAATGTCTTGTGAGTTGAAGTTCCACGGGTCACTGGTCATGAAGAAGAGCTGCAGCGATCCCTCACGCTGCAGCTCTTCTTCATGACCAGTGACCCAAATGTCTTGTGAGTTGAATAGAAAGCTGTTCGCACGAATCATGAAGGACTCGCCCTTTGTCGTGTCCAGTGATGAGGCGAGCTCGTATGGGAGTCCTTTATTTGTGCGAGCAGCACTTGAACCGACTCATAAGTCCAACTGCAACCGTCCAAGGTTATGAGTCATGACCAGTTGTGTGTGTGTGGTTTTTTTGAGTTGTTTTATGCCCAAAACACACACACAACTGGTCAAGTCACCTTCTCCCTCGTTCCATCCCCTCTGTCTCGAGGTGACTTTTGAGTCGACTGAAAAGTCACCTCGTTCACCTCGTTCCATCCCCTCTGTCTCGAGGTGACTTTTGAGTCGACTGAAAATTCACCTCGTTCACCTCGTTCCATCCCCTCTGTCTCGAGGTGACTTTTGAGTCGACTGAAAAGTCACCTCGTTCACCTCGTTCACCTCGTTCCATCCCCTCTGTCTCTCCCTCGACAGATTGATGCAGTGGCCAAGGTGCGGGATGGGCGCATGCGCAATGTGCGATGTATTGATGCCAGCAAGCTAGTGATTTGATTCGTGCTCTTTCCCATCTCTTCTCCTGTGTGCAATCTCTCCCTCTCTCTTCCCTCTCTCTTCCCTCTCTCTTCCCTCTCTTCCCTTTGGCAGATCGATGCAGTGGCCAAGGTGCGGGATGGGCGCATGCGCAGTGTGGGCAACGACGAGAGGGAGCAGACCCTGAACCAGCTGCTCACTGTGAGTGGGGGGGTTTGTGAGTGGTTGGAAGAGTAGGAGTGTGTGCTTGTGTGTGCTTGAGCGGGTGATTGTACGGGCGCATGCGCAGTGTGGGCAACGGCGAGAGGGAGGAGACCCTGAACCAGCTGCTCACGGTGAGTGGGTGAGTCAGGGGGTGGGTAGGTTGGTCTGTATTTGCTCATATACACCCATGTACAGAGCGTGCTTGTGAGCCGGTGACACCTATGTACCTATGTATGTGCCTCTTCTGCTTTCAATGCAACCTTGTATCCTCCACTCCACTACAGTACAGCGGTGATTGTCCTTGCAACCACCAACGAGGCAGACGCCATTGACCCTGCCCTGCGTGATTGTCCTCACACTACCGTGCATGCGTGCTTTACACCCATGTCGTGAGCTCTTCCATCTGTCACAACAGGAGATGGATGGGTTTGACAGCAGCACGGCAGTGATCGTACTCGCAGCCACCAACAGGGCGGATGTCATCGACCTTTTCACCCTTTCTTTGCTGCCTTTACGCGTGCATCCCTGCTCCCCATTCCCACACCACAGGAGATGGATGGGTTTGACAGCAGCACGGCAGTGATCGTACTCGCAGCCACCAACAGGGCGGATGTCATCGACCTTTTCACCCTTTCTTTGCTGCCTGTACGCGTGCATCCCTGCTCCCCATTCCCACACCACAGGAGATGGACGGGTTGACAGCAGCACGGCAGTGATCGTACTCGCAGCCACCAACAGGGCGGATGTTATTGACCCTGTCCTGCGGTCCTGCGCCTGTGACACCCTTGCACACTCACTTTGCCTTCCTGTGTCCGTGCACCCTCTCATGTTGTTGTGCACTAACAGGAGATGGACGGGTTTGACAGCAGCACTGCAGTCATTGTCCTTGCAGCCACCAACAGGGCAGACGTCATCGACCCCGCCCTGCGCCGCCCAGGGCGGTTCGACCGGATTGTAGCGGTGAGGAACGGTGGGGGGTGGTGTAGTGTGTGTGCAGATTTTCAGTGTGGTAGCATAGCATCACTTTTGAGAATTCTCAAAAGAGATTTCGAGGTAGCATAGCATCACTGTTGAGAATTCTCAAAGTGATTTCGAGGTAGCATAGCATCACTGTTGAGATTTCGAGGTAGCATAGCATCAAACAGCTGTCTGGCGTGCTGTTCTGTGTGTGTGGTAATGGGGCTTGATGGGTCTTGATGCCATACTGACAGTGCATGTGGAGCAGAAAGAGCTGCCACAACCCCATGTAAATGAGCTCTTTCCATCCCTTCTTCCATATGCGTACCCTCTCCTCCACCTCCGCACCACCACCACACACACACACACTCACACTCACCCTCTCAGGTGGAGCCTCCTGATTGCAAGGGGAGGGAGGCCATACTGACGGTGCATGTGGAGCACAAGGAGCTGCCACTAGCTGATGCAGCTACATGCCATCCCATCTCACAGACTCACACCACAGCCACATATCTTCTTCCAAACCCACACTCCCACTCTCAGGTGGAGCCTCCTGATCGCAAGGGGAGGGAGGCCATACTGACGGTGCATGTGGAGCACAAGGAGCTACCTCTGAGCACCGATGTGGACATTCAGGAAATCGCTGTCGCCACCAGCGGATTTACGGGGTATGTGCATGGGTTGGGAGGGGTTGGGATGGGTTGAGATGTGGAGCAGAAAGAGCTACCTCTGAGCACCGATGTGGACATTCAGGAGATTGCTGTTTCCACAAGCGTATTCACTGGGTGAGTGAGTGAGTGTGTGCGTGCGTGCGTGCGTGCGTGCGTGCGTGCGTGCGTGCGTGCATGCGTGCGTGCGTGCGTGCGTGCATGCGTGTGTTTAGATGGTTGAGATGATATGGCCCCCTCATCAACCCCTTGGGCAAATTCGGTGAACGAGACAGCAAGGAGAGAACATCAAGAGATTAGTTTTGAGACTTTTCAAAAGTGATTATAACATCCGTTTATCTCACTGCCCCACTGCCATGCAGCACCCTGACACATCCGGCCTCCTTGCCTTCCCTTCATTGCTAAGTTGTTTTGGCAAATCTGGTGCACAAAGCAATGTGGCTAGCAGCAAGGAGGAGGGACCACGAGAAGATGTGCTGTTCTTTACCCCCTCACTGTCATGCTGTAGGAGGGAAATATGTTGCAGCGTATGTTTTTTGAGAATTCTCAAAAAACATACGCTGCAACAAATTTCCCTCACGGGACCACGAGGAGATGTGGTGTTCTTTACCCCCTCACTGTCATGCTGTACCCATACCTTGGTTCCTCATCTCTCCTTCCCTTCTTCCCCGCCCCCCCCCTTCTTCCCCGTCCCCCCCCATTCCAGGGCTGATTTGGCGAATCTGGTGAACGAGGCAGCGCTGCTGGCAGCAAGGAGGGACCACGAGGAGGTCACTAAGCAGGACTTTGATAGTGCTGTTGAACGGGCTCTTGCGGTGAGTGCTGTGAATCTGTGATTACAATGAGTGACTGACATGGGATGTGAGATGAACAATAAGGAGGGACCATGAGGAGGTCACTAAGCAGGACTTTGACAGTGCAGTTGAACGAGCTCTTGCGGTGAGTGTGGCTGGTAGGAGTGCGTGATTGCAATGAGTGGCCGGCATGGGATGTGAGATGAACAATGAGGAGGGACCACGAGGAGGTGACCAAGCAGGACTTTGACAGCGCTGTTGAACGGGCTCTTGCGGTGAGTGTGGCTGAACGAGGAGTGTGATTACGAGGAGAGATTGCAGCGCAGAGTGCAGCGCTGTTCAGTGAGCGCTTGCAGTGAGTGTGGCTGAACGAGGAGTGTGATTACGAGGAGAGATTGCAGCGCAGAGTGCAGCGCTGTTCAGTGAGCGCTTGCAGTGAGTGTGGCTGAACGAGGAGTGTGATTACGAGGAGAGATTGCAGCGCAGAGTGCAGCGCTGTTCAGTGAGCGCTTGCAGTGAGTGTGGCTGAACGAGGAGTGTGATTACGAGGAGAGATTGCAGCGCAGAGTGCAGCGCTGTTCAGTGAGCGCTTGCGGTGAGTGTGGCTGAACGAGGAGTGTGATTACGAGGAGAGATTGCAGCGCTGAGTGCAGCGCTGTTCAGTGAGCGCTTGCAGTGAGTGTGGCTGAACGAGGAGTGTGATTACGAGGAGAGATTGCAGCGCAGAGTGCAGCGCTGTTCAGTGAGCGCTTGCACTGAGTGTGGCTGAACGAGGAGTGTGATTACGAGGAGAGATTGCAGCGCAGAGTGCAGCGCTGTTCAGTGAGCGCTTGCAGTGAGTGTGGCTGAACGAGGAGTGTGATTACGAGGAGAGATTGCAGCGCAGAGTGCAGCGCTGTTCAGTGAGCGCTTGCGGTGAGTGTGGCTGAACGAGGAGTGTGATTACGAGGAGAGATTGCAGCGCAGAGTGCAGCGCTGTTCAGTGAGCGCTTGCAGTGAGTGTGGCTGAACGAGGAGTGTGATTACGAGGAGAGATTGCAGCGCAGAGTGCACCGCTGTTCAGTGAGCGCTTGCGGTGAGTGTGGCTGAACGAGGAGTGTGATTACGAGGAGAGATTGCAGCGCAGAGTGCAGCGCTGTTCAGTGAGCGCTTGCGGTGAGTGTGGCTGAACGAGGAGTGTGATTACGAGGAGAGATTGCAGCGCTGTTCAGTGAGCGCTTGCAGTGAGTGTGGCTGAACGAGGAGTGTGATTACGAGGAGAGATTGCAGCGCTGAGTGCAGCGCTGTTCAGTGAGCGCTTGCAGTGAGTGCGGCTGATTGGGGACTCTGACTTTAGGGAGTGGTGAAGACGGAGAATAACAGCGAGGAGGGGCCACGAGGAGGAAACAAGGCAAGACTTTGATAGTGCTGTTGAGCGGGCTCTTGCTGTGAGCGGTTGTTGCTATGAGTTGTGGTTCTTGCTGTGAGCGGTTGTTGCTATGAGTGTGGTTCTTGCTGTGAGTGGTTGTTGCTATGAGTGTGGTTCTTGCTGTGAGCGGTTGTTGCTATGAGTGTGGTTCTTGCTGTGAGCGGTTGTTGCTATGAGTGTGGTTCTTGCTGTGAGCGGTTGTTGCTATGAGTGTGGTTCTTGCTGTGAGCGGTTGTTGCTATGAGTGTGGTTCTTGCTGTGAGCGGTTGTTGCTATGAGTGTGGTTCTTGCTGTGAGCGGTTGTTGCTATGAGTGTGGTTCTTGCTGTGTAGCGGTTTGTTGCTATGAGTGGTTCTTGCTGTGTGTGTGTGGCTGTTGCTTTGCGTTGTGCACGCCGTGTATGTCCTTTATGTGCAGTTGATGTTTGATTCATTGTTGTTTATCCACATGCGATTCTATTTTTCCCTTGTTCACAGGGAATTGAGAAGAAACGGTCAGCTTTGGGCCGGGCAGAAAAAGCTGTGGTAGCACGGCATGAAGCAGGCCATGCGCTGCTGGGGGCAGCCATTGCAAAAGTTTTACCTGACCAGCGGGTAGTCCAAAAAATCTCCATCGTACCCCGGTCGGGCGGCGCATTAGGATTCGCCTACATGCCGCCCCCAGCGGACGGCGAAGAGCGTCTTCTAGTGTTTGTCGACGAGCTCCGCGGCCAGCTCGCCGTCCTTCTTGGGGGCCGGGCGGCAGAAGACGTCTGTTTTGGTGGGAGAATCTCTACAGGAGCAGTAGACGACATTCGCCGTGCTACAGACGTGGCATATAAGGCAGTAGCAGAATATGGGCTGAGTGGGACCATAGGTCCAATGTCAGTGGGTACCCTGGCGGGAGGAGGGTTGGACGGAGGGGGAGGGTTTTCCTGGGGGGGGAAGGACCAGGGGAGGCTGTCGGATCAGGTGCAGGATGAGGTGCAACAACTGTTACAGGCGGCTCTAGAGGTGGCCCGGGCGGTGCTGGTGTGCAACAGAGGGCTTCTGGAAGACCTGGGAAGGACGCTGCAAGGTGAGACTTGAGACTGCCTTGTGATCGTTGCCTTGGGGGAGAAGGACCAGTGGAAGGTGTAAGATCAAGTGCAGGATGAGGTGCGAGTCGAGGTGTCTCAGTCTTGCGTAGGGGAGGTTGTTGGATTGGATGAGGTGCAGGATGAGGTGCAACAGCTGCTGCAGGAAGCTTTAGAGGTGGCGCGGGCTGTGCTGGTGTGCAACAGAGGGCTGCTGGAAGACCTGGGAAGGACGCTGCAAGGTGAGGTTGCCTGGAAATTGTTGGTTGAAGGTGCACCTATACCCGCTTCTTTGTACTGTTTCTCCTCAAATGTCCTCAAATGTTGTCTTCTTTCTTTTCTGAAGTGACATTTCCCACAGCCATTCATCTTTTCTCCATATACTCCCACCCACATTTTTATGCATCGCACCAGATAATGAGACGGTGGAGGGAGCAGCTCTGAGCGCTTGGCTGGCGCAAGTAGAGGTGCCGCCACTGCTTAGAACTTTTGTGTACGGGCGGACGGTTGACCTGCCCCTGCTCCCAGCTGAGAGCAGTGAAGAGGATGCATGATTTCTTTTAGCTATACATGGATGGTGGGCTGCTTGCCCCCTTCACCCATTTCATGCAGTGCTTGATACAAAATGCATCATGGGTGTGTACAGTGGGGTCGTTTTAAATTGTCATTGTATTCACTATTGGCGTGTATATATATTTTCCTTGGAGAAAACGTAAATTGTACTTTTGGTATGGGTTGGATGCTATTGAATGCATATCTTGTGATGGAATATCCTAATGTGCATATTATACTCGTTTACGTCAAGCGAATAAGGGAATTGTGTAGAGCACCTAGCCTTTCGATAATATCGAGGCCCACACAAACTCGACTCTTATCGTCTCACCAGATTACAGCCAGACGTACACATCTGTTGGATCTCCGTCATTCCCACCGACGCGTCCCGTCCGCCCCGTTCGGTACGGAGGAAGCCGTGGACTTCCCTCAAAAGTTGGTCACCCTTCTCAACCGCTCATATATGCTGGTTTATGGCATTATATAGACATCGCGTCGCATTCCACCGCAAGGGAGATTCAGACTTGCCCTCCTTAGCTCAAATACAAGATCCCGCGATCCAGATACTATTTTTCAGATTAGGAGTAGCTTCAGGAGGGTTTGCAACTTATCCTGTGAACCGTACCGACCTGACTTGTCAGCATCGCGGGCAACAGCAGCCGTCACGATGTTGGACCATTTTCGATCTTTACGCGCGGCGGGCTGGTTCTCTGGACGTTCCAGATGACGGCCATGAAAGGCTCGCCGATCGACGCGCTGATTCAAAACTGCCTGACTGCAGGAGCGGTCCGGCGAGAAGACGTTCCAGTACAACGCCAAGGACCAGTCGGCTTATACGTTAAAGTGGTCCTTCCATAACGAGTTAGGTTTGGTGTTTGTCGCGGTGTATCAGCGTATGTTGCAGTTGCTTTATGTGGATGATCTGTTGAGCAGCTGTTAGGGATGAGTTTGCGGATGGACACTACGATCCGAAGAAAACGTCCTATCCGGATTTTGACGACGTTTTTAAAACAGCTGCTTCGCGAATCTGAACAGCATGCGAACGAGTTGAAGCGGCCGAAGCAGGTTACCAATTTCGGGAGACGAAAAAGGGTAAAGGCATGAATAAGGCGACGGGAGCGGGGAAAGGGAAAGGAACAGGAGCCAATCAGAGAAAGGGGGGCGTGGCGAAAGATGGCGGAGACAGTGGGAGCGACGATACTGGCGATGAGGACGGAGCGGCTAACAGCGAGGCCGAGCAGCCGGCTAGCCGTCCCAGCAGCAGCTCGCCCGTCTCCTCCGCCGGCGCGTTTGACGTCTCGAAGCTCCGTAACCGCGCCAACCGCAGCAAGCAAGCTGCGGCGAAAAAAAACCGGTAACGGGCTTTTCGATTTCCCGCTTAATCCCTCAAAAGGCGGCGGGAAATCCGACGGAAAAGCCGACGGAAGCGCGTCGGAAAGCGAGTCGAAGAAACCGAAGAAGCAGATGCGGAAGTGGGATAACGACGGGCCGGCTCTGGAGCGGCAGGACTTCTCGGAAGCTTCGGATCACGACACTGACGTGGAGGTTGTCGACGTGGCAAAGGTGGGGAAGAGCATGATGGATCGCGAAGCTGAGCTGGAAGAAGAGGAGGACGCTGAGTGGGGAGGGGAGGATGAGGATGAGGAGTCGGAGGAGGAAGGGGGGAGGGACCGGAAGGGGTCGCGCCGGCACGTGGGTCGCGGGGATGATGGCAGTGAGGGGAAGAAGACCGGCTGGCTTGCTTCGGTCTTCCAGAGGTACGAATGAAGGGGGAAGTGGGGAAGGGGGAATGAAGGGGTAGAGGGAGGGGAAGGGCGGGGAGGGGGTCTCGCAGGCACGTGGGTCGCGGGGATGATGGCAGTGAGGGGAAGAAGGCTGGCTGGCTCGCTTCGGTTTTCCAAAGGTATGAGGGGAGGGGAGGGGAGGTGGGATAAGGGGGAGAGGTGGTTTTTGTAGCGTAGTGGGCAAGGCGTCCCAGTAGCTGCGCACATTTCTTACATCCAATCACCCCACACCTTCCCTTATTCGCCCTCTCCTCCACTCTTTCCCCTCCCCCACCTCCCATCCCCCCCCCCCCCCACTTCCCCCCTTCATCACCTATCCCACCCTTCTCCCACCCTTCCCCCTTTCCCTCCCTCTCCTGCATCTCCCCCACCCTCCCGCCGCTTCTCAAAGCGTGGTGGGCAAGGCCTCGCTGGAGCTGGCGGACATAGAGCCGTCGCTCAAGGTGCTCAAGGATCGCCTCATGACCAAGAACGTGGTAAGCTGTCCCCCCCTACCCTCTGCTCTTGAGTCGACTCACTAGTCACGGAGAGCCGTCCGTCGCTCAAGGTGCTCAAGGATCGCCTCATGACCAAGAACGTGGTAAGCTGTCTTCCCTTGCCCTCTGTTCCGTCCCCACAACCCACCTGTCACCCCCGCTGCCATCCTCTTTGCCATTTGGCCAGTCTGCTTCTGATTCCTGCAGTCAGTCCATCTCCCCACCCCCTCCCCCTTCTCCCCTTATTTTTTCCGGTTTATTTTGCCTTGTGTGTGTGTGTGTGTGTGTGTGTGTGTGTGTGTGTGTGTGTGTGTGTGTGTGTGTGTGTGTGTACGCGCGCGCGCGCGTGTGCGTGTGCGTGTGCGTGTGCCTCACCCCCTTCACTCCAGGCGGAGGAGATAGCGGAGAAGCTGTGCCGCTCAGTGGCGTCGAGCCTGGTGGGCAGCAAGCACGCGTCCTTCACGCGCATCTCCTCCACCGTGCAGGCGGCCATGGAGGACGCCCTCACGCGCATCCTCACGCCCAAGCGCTCCATTGACATTCTCAGGGACGTGCAGGTGAGCAGTGGTGACCACCTCGTATTGTCCCTTGGAGGGTAAGGACGACTGGGGGCAGGAGGGGGGAAGGGAAGGGTTGGGGTGACAATGCAGGCGGCCATGGAGGACGCCCTCACGCGCATCCTCACGCCCAAGCGCTCCATTGACATTCTGCGCAACGTGCAGGTGAGCACGTGAACGCCTCTTGAAGGGTGCGGATACCCGTAAGTGCTATTCTCGAGGGGTTGACCAGGGTGGGCAAAGCGGCTACCCTGGCCAATGCAGCCCACTGGCTCTCACAACCCATCGTTCTTCATTGACTCTAGTGTACTTTCTCTTTCTTCCTCTGTCTCGCCGCCCTCTCCCAGGCGGCCAAGGAGGCGAATCGGCCGTACGTGATGGTGTTTGTGGGGGTGAACGGGGTGGGCAAGTCCACCAACCTGGCCAAGGTGGCATTCTGTCGGTCGCAGCCTGTGTCAGATGCACCCGCTATCTCTTATCCTCACCCACCCTCTCGCCCGCACTCCTTCCCCAGGCTGCCAAGGAGGCAAACCGCCCCTACATGGTGGTGTTTGTGGGGGTGAACGGGGTGGGCAAGTCCACCAACCTGGCTAAAGCTGCCTACTGGCTGTCACAACCCGGCCCTTTGCATGGACTCAGCTGCACCTTCTATTCCTCGTTTCCCTTCTTCCCCTCTCGCCCGCTGTCTTCTCATCAGGCTGCCAAGGAGGCAAACCGCCCCTACGTGGTGGTGTTTGTGGGGGTGAACGGGGTGGGCAAGTCCACCAACCTGGCCAAGGTGGCCTACTGGCTGTCACAGCACGACATCAAGGTGATGGTGGCGGCGTGTGACACCTTCCGAGCGGGAGCTGTGGAGCAGCTGAGGACTCACGCCAGGAGGCTGCAGGTGCGCTCAACTCAAAGGCCCTACCTACATATCTAGTGTGGTAATATGAGGTGTGGCCAAGGTGGCCTACTGGCTGTCACAGCACGACATCAAGGTGATGGTGGCGGCGTGTGACACCTTCCGAGCGGGAGCTGTGAAGCAGCTCAGGACACACGCCAGGAGGCTCCAGGTGCGCTCGACCCAAAGACCCTACGTACCTATCGCGTGTCTAGTCTGGTAATATGAGGTGTGTGTGAATCTAAAGCTCCTATTCATTGGGATGGTATGAGGTGCATGTGTCCCTTTCGAATGCTATTTCCCCTTTCTCTCCTCCTCTCCCTCGCCAGATCCTTGACAGGGGGTACGAGAAGGACCCGGCGGCGGTTTCAAAGGAGTCGATCATTGAAGCCCATCCCCTTTCTTCTTCTCTCTCTCTTTTGCTGTCTCCTCACCCTCTCCTCCCCCCAGATCCCGCTGTTTGAGCGGGGGTACGAGAAGGACCCGGCGGCGGTGGCAAAGGAGGCGATCAGGGAGGCGACGCGCACCAAGATGGATGCAGTGCTGGTGGACACAGCCGGGCGCATGCAGGACAACGAGCCGCTCATGCGAGCGCTCTCCAAACTGATTAACATCAACGAACCTGACCTGGTGGGTGGATGCTGTCGTGTGTGTGTGGCTCTGGCTAAGATTTTCCCAGCAAAGGTTTCGACCATCTGTTTGTTGCCATGGCTGAGCTGACCACGTTCAACCAGCGCTTGGCTGATCTCTTCCCTTTCTGAAACGTGTGAACGCATGTGTTGTTTCATGCTCCTTCCATCCCATCACCGTGGCTGTGAGCAGGTACTGTTTGTGGGGGAGGCGCTGGTGGGCAACGATGCAGTGGATCAGCTGACCACTGTTGAGTCACCTAATTATGTGATATGCCTTCCCATTCAATGCCACTCCATTACCATGGGCACAACAGGTTCTGTTTGTGGGGGAGGCACTGGTGGGCAACGATGCAGTGGATCAGCTGACCAAGTTCAACCAGCGCTTGGCTGACCTCTCCTCTGCTCCCACTCCCCACGCCATTGACGGCATTTTACTCACCAAGTTTGACACTATAGATGATAAGGTGAGCTCTCGAGTTTCTGGTTTCAGAGCTAGGGTGAATTTTCCTTTCACTTGGATGTTGCCAATTATTTTGCTTATTGTCAAAGATTAATTCAGGCTTTCTTGCGTTTCTTGTTTGGGAGCAGGTTGGTGCTGCCCTGTCCATGGTGTATGTATCAGGGGCGCCCATCATTTTTGTCGGCTGTGGTCAGACATACACTGACCTGCGCCGCCTAAATGTGAAGCACATTATCCGTGCGCTGCTGCAGTAGTCGGCAGCAATATGCACAATAAGCGGCAGTATTGGTATTGATACTATGGATAAAAATATTGACTAATGCTCCATTTTATCTCGTTTCACAACATGCTAGATAGATTAGAACTCTTCCTGATGTATCAGTCTTACTCTTTGAATTCTTTTTGTTGTGCTATTATTTGATTTTTCTATTGCGCTGCTACGTATTCTTCAACTTCGGACATTTTACATCGAGCTCATCTCTTAGCGAAATCCTTCGTTTGAGCGCGAAAATTTTGAATTCTGACAAGCACTCAGAGACTGACACGGCATTTCCAAGGTCTGACGCGACTCGATCTGGAATACCCGAGAGCAGAGCAACGAAACACATCAGGGAGACCAGGAGAAACGAACCTCCTCATCTCCTGGTTCCCTCCGCTGCAATCAAGCACGCTATTCACCGCTATCTCTGAAACTCAGGGAGTAAGTCAAAGATTGGTGTAACGTCCTAGGAAAAGCAGTTTAGACTGCTGACTAATAGTCCTCTGGCTTGTGATTATCGACTGGCATAGCGAGTGTGGTCCTTAGACTTAAGCTCGGTTGTCGTATAGCTAGTGAGCTTGGACGTAATGGCGTCCAACACTGACAAAGGGGGTTAATGTCCAAGTATTATTGCGATGCAGGTAAACATTTCGCATTGAGGGGTTTATTTGAGCTGTTTAGAATCAAATTCCAGATTTCTGATCGTCGCCGCCTTCTTGAACAGGCCATTATCCTCGGACGATGTGCGGCTACGAGCACAACAGGTGGTCAAATGTAATGAATCCCGCAAGGAAGTCATGGTTGCCCATAATGTCGCGGGGAAGTCAAGCGAAAAGGCGTTCACTTTCGATAGAGTAAGCTTCATGCAATGAAATAGCAAGGTCGATTCAGTTCTAATCTAGAAATCGCGTTCGCTGAGAGTTTGATGGATGTCCTCTGCAGGTATTTGGACCGACGTCGAAGCAGCAGCACCTATACAAGCTCGCGATCGCACCTATTGTCGAGGAGGTCCTCGAAGGCTTCAACTGTACGATCTTCGCTTACGGCCAAACGGGGACGGGGAAGACCTTTACTATGCAAGGAGACGTAACCCGAGCCGGAGTGAGTGCCGAACCGCGTTCTGAATCCCGATTTGGCATTTTCCCTGCCGTACTGACAGCGTGTGTGTTTTTTTTCGCAGGAGAATGGCCAACTTCCGGAAGGAGCAGGAGTTATTCCACGGTCTATCAAGCATATCTTCGACACCCTTGATAGTCAGGGAGCCGAGTACAACATCAAAGTAACTTACCTGGAGCTTTACAACGAAGAGATAACGGACCTTCTGGCTCCAAATGACATCCTTGTGGCGTCCGAGTCAAAGAAGCCACTCGCCTTGATGGAAGATGGTAAAGGCGGAGTGATTGTACGTGGCCTTGAAGAGGAGGTTGTCAACAACTCGTCTAACATTTTCACGCTATTGGAGAGGGGGTCGGCCAAGAGACGCACAGCAGAGACGATGCTGAACAAGCAGTCCAGGTTCGTTTGCAACACTTACTCATGCTTGCTTTCTATTGTAATTTTATGACAGCCTGAACGAGTCTGTATGTGCTGTATTTATATCCTTTCATGTGCAGGCCGCTCCCACTCCATCTTCACTATCACTATTCACAATCAAGGAGTCAACTCCGGAGGGTGTGGAACTGATCAAGTGCGGAAAGCTGAACCTGGTCGACCTTGCTGGTTCGGAGTGCATAGGAAGATCCGGCGCCAAAGAAGTAAGTTCTGGTACGTGAAGCCTTATGGATGGTTCTTTTCATCAAAACTAATATTTTCATGCTTCTTTCCAGGGACGCGCACGAGAAGCTGGTGAAATCAACAAGAGCCTCCTGACTTTGGGACGAGTAATCACAGCCCTTGTAGACCACACCGGTCACATTCCTTACAGGTAAGATCAGTCAATGGTGTGACCTCAATATTAGATGAATCTTAACAATGGGTTGGACACCGATTACAAAGTGGAATCATGCAGGGACAGCAAGCTCACAAGGTTGCTTCGTGACTCTCTTGGAGGCCGGACAAAGACTTGCATTATTGCAACAGTCTCTCCTGTCGCTCCTTGTTTGGAAGAGACCTTGAACACGCTAGAGTATGCTCAGCGTGCTAAGAATATCAAGAACAAGCCCGAGGTGAGCATGGCAAACTATCCACATCTGGTGATCTGGAAACGACATAAAAAACTAGCATTTGACAAACTTTCCAGGTTAACCAAAGGACGACGAAGTCTAAGCTACTGAAGGACATGGCAGGAGAAGTTGAGAGGTTGAAACAAGGTATGTAACAACTACTGGCATGTCTGTTGTTATCTTCTACTAAAATTCCTGCTCTAACTCGACTGGCGGATCTATGTTTCAGAGTTGAAGGCTCAGCGCGAGAAGGAAGGCGTTCATCTGACAGTTCAGCAGCACGAGAACCTGCTGAAGCAGGTGCAGTCCCTCAAGGACCTCACTGGCCAAAACAGTGACGAGCTCGAGCAGAAGGCGGAGGTAAGAAATGTTGTGTACATTCAATGCAAATCTTTTTGGTCTCATAGTGGCAACCTGAAAATAAGTGTTGCCATGTGCAGGAGATTAAGCAACTCAGTGAGCAACTGGAGGTATTTTCGGGCCGAGTGGATGATTTGACCAAGGAGAGGGATGGTCTTCAGGTAACTGAAACAACTGAGTGAAGTCATATGGTTCCTTGTTGAATAAAATTGTACAGAGTATTACCTATCATTGATGTGTTGAGATTAACAAATGTTGTGTTTTTCAGGGACAAGTTGTCTCGCTTTCCCAAAGCTTGGAGAAGACTGAAGCTGATCTTCGAGAAGCAGTATCAACTATTGAAAGCATGACTCAAGCTGGTAATTTTTATGTTTTTGGTTGTATTTCTGTACTGGAGTTTCTCAGCCTCCACTCTCCTGGGTCAATGCAACTGAATTTGTTCAGCATCTTTCTCATTGCTATGTGATTCTCCTTGCCGCCCTGTACTTGATGGCAGAGACACAGCTGGTTATCACCTGCAATGGCCTTCGACAAATGCTCATCAACGTCAATCACGATAATACTCCAACTGTTTGAAAAGATTGGTGAGCTTGGTCCTTGGAACTTGCGTCATTTCTATCCAGAGGTCCGTGTTGGTTAGAAAGACTTGTACTGACATTTGCTCTTTAATCAGAGAGAATGCAGGAAACTTCAGTCCACAACCAGGCTGCAGCTACCAGTCTGAAGCAGCAAATGGACAGTCAAGTCGATAGTGTTCGGGCCTTTGTAGTAAAGCAGATGGAGATTCTTGCTTTCCAAGAGCAACAAGCATCACAGGGCCTTGAAGACGTCCTCAGCCAGTCAACTAAGGTATTCTTCAGACAGTGGCTCCTCATCTTCTTTATGTTGAGCATTTTTGCCTTTTGAGCAATGATTGACTAACTGTATGTTCCACTTGATGCAGGATTTGGGCCAAGTGACGGAGGAGGTATCTCAGTTGCAGCAGAAGGTGTTCGGTGCGACACGATTCATGAAGGAGCGCGTGCAGCAGTTTGTGGATAAGAACAACAGTTCCCTCCAGTCCTTGGTGGACGGTCTCGGTCCACAACAGGAGGAGATGGAGAAGGTTCGTAAGAACAACAATGTTATTCCCACTGTTATCGTCCCAGATATTGTGCAGATTTTGCTCACGCAAGGTTATGGTTAGCCTGCAGCTACTTGAAGAAGCTTCTGCCTCATCTAAAGCATCAGTTCAGCAAATCCAAAGTTTGCTGACCGGTCTCTCAGCTGGCTGGGACAACGTGCAAGGGTGGTGGAATCAGGTGGGCATGGTAGACTTTCTAGGGTTGTAAGCATCCAACTTTCGTTCTCCTGATCCATTGTCACTTGGATATTGCAGTATTTGGAGAAGCGCAGAGCAGAGTCATCCTCTGCCCTGTCGTCCATGGAAGCCTTGATTGAACGATTGTATGAAGAGACAACTGCTTGGGCTGAGATGATAGCTCATCACACGGAGAGTCATGAAGAGGATATGAGCAGCCTAGAGAAGGCGGTGATGGTAAGTCGCAAGTTGGCTTTGCATCCGTGTTTGAAGGTGAAAGATGTATCTCAATGGCTTACATTTCTGTGATTGCAGGACATTGAAATGCAGAAGGCCAAGAGGATTATGGAGGCAGTGACCGAAATTGTACAGCAAGGGATGAACGACACCAAGGACGAGGTGTGTGAGCAAATAACGTGATTCAGCCTGTCGTTTCTTGAACCAATGATCCCTAATGCATGTTTGCTTGGCATTTTTAGGTCAAGGGACGGATTGCTCGCATGGGAGCCAGTGTGAAGAATTTACGCTCCGCAAATGATGATAAAAGGCGTGCTGTGAAGGGTGTTTTCTCTAACATTTCAAGCGGCATTGCTGATCTTCGAGAAAAGGAAGCCATGGCTGACACGGAGGCCTCAATGAAGTTGCACGCAAGAAGTCTGAAGCTGGCGAGAAGGTGGCTTCGTGGTAGGCATCTTCCTCAGCCTCTTACACCCTCCATCTGTTCCTCTGTTCCTGTTGTTCGCTCCTCTGTACGCTTTCCACCTTTTCCTGTGCTCCTCTGTGCTTTAGTTTCCTGGAGCCATTGTGAATGCATTGAGTTGCACATGCACACACGCGCACACAATTTCCTCATCCTCAACTTCCTCTGTGTTCCCTAATGCAGTGCGGGTTGCGTGGAAAGGATGGATGTAGATAGCAGTGAACAGCTATCACTGCTTGCATCACGGTCCAAATCTTATTGCGACCGTATGAAAAAGAGCATCGGGTAAGCCTACTGAGAGAGAAGTTCAATCCGCAACAGTTTTGAAGTCCGAGTCCCGTTTTCCTCTGAGAGTAAAATTAACTTGGTGTATTTTGGCAGGGAGCGCAATCTAGAGTCAACCAGCCTTGGCAACAGTACAACAACTGACCAAGAGCAGGTTGAGGCAACGTGCAATGCAGGAGCTGACAAGCTCGTCACTATGATTTCAGGTAAACCATGAATTTCTGAAGTTCCACGTTCCTGTCAACGCCACCTTGCATATAATAATCACTTGTTTCTCTATTCGTTTCCCCCTTGCAGGAAGGTTATGGTGCACAGCAGGAGAAGCTCACAAGTATCGCATCCTCGCTTGTTAAGTCATCTCATTCTGTGCCACTGGCACTGGACCACCACAAGCAGCAAGTTGAGGACGTCAAGGGAAGCATGAAGAGACATCTGGAGGAGGATCTGAAGGCAAGTATAGTCAAACCTTTATTCTTTGTCAGCATGGGCTTCTGTGGTGTATTATGTTGACGTGAGTGTGCTTCCTTAATGCAGCCGGATGAACATACGTCAAGAACTCCACAGAAGCGGCGGTTTGAGATTCCAACAGAGGACATTTTGAGGATGTGTCATCGACCCAATCAGGCCAACGGGCCTGTGCTAGTGCCTCTTCCTCTGAAAGCAGCGCCCTCACCCAAGCGAGGCGTTCCTTCTCCTGGGAAACTTAAGGCTGCGATGCAGAATTCGGGGAACCCTCGGGGCCCTCGCGGACCGCTGTTCACCATTTCCCAGAACTAATACGCATACACTGGCATTGGGATCCAGTAGCACATCTATAGGTCACTCCAAGTACGTAGCTAGCTATGGGGTATTTATAAGTAAAGGTGCTAGTGTGAGGGTCTAGTTATGCTAGACTTCTCTAGCAGTAGTAGCCGACTAACTTCCTTTGTCCTCTCGGCAAAGGATACAGGCTGACATAGGTACCGTAAGTTTCTGAACCATTTTAAATGTAGTGCAGGCAACATAACTTGCCCAGCTTGCTATCTCCACCAACGCCCATCAATCTACACAATAGCACACAAGATTCATTCTATCCTCGCACTTATAGCTCAGCTTACCCAAAACAACACGAAGCCCTCACTACCACCACGGCCGCCTCAGCCTCCTCCTTCCTCCACCAAAGAACATGTGTGTATCTGGATACAGAGATTCCAAGCTGGCATCCGCACTCCTGTGAGCCTCAGAATACTGCGACAGATTGACATACTCTTGAGGCCCCTCCTCGTCCTCATAATCATCACTATCAGAATCCCTGTCACGGTCTGCCCTAGCCCTGTGCGCCGTGCTCCCATCCCCCCACGGAGCCCTGCACCAAACGCAAACGTCACCATGCCGCCCCTCTTGGCAGCCTTCCAACGAGAGAAGCAGTCCGAGTGGACGTTGTTACCGCAGCGCTGACAAAACACCACCGCCTTCTGCTGGCTTCCCACCACCACGCTTCCCTGCGCCTGTCCCTCCCAGAGGCTCGTAACAGATGGGACAGTCCCCTTCGATCGGCCGCTGCTGCTTTGGCCTCTGGCCTGTCCCCCCAACTGCAGCCTGACTGCCACCTTCATTCCTGGAATTCAAATCAGTCAAGCCCAGAGCACCAGAGAACCAGGCTGCCCCCTGCAATGCGTGCAAACTGCTCCCTTACAGCCGGACTCGCTAGAATCTCCTCACCCTCCCTCAGCAACAGCGAGTGTTCTCCTCTCCAACGCGTCTATCCTATCCAGAAGCTCGTTTAGCTCGGTAGAGAGCAACGAGCGCTGCCACACGCGCGGATCCTCCTCGTCCCACATGCAGCACGCGCAGCAGCACAAAGAGCACGTGCTTGCACAGGTTGCCGTTGCCGTAGTCTGGGCACGTGCACGACGGCTGCTGCGAAATGGTAACCGTGTAGACGTTACCGGTTGCGCCCAGCACGTGGAAGTTACAGGAGCACGGCGGAGCGGGGAGGCGGAGGGAGGAGGGGTGGAGGCGGGGGTGTGGGGGGCGGAAAGAGCGCGAGTGGGGGAACTGGCGAGAGTGGGGGTGGGGGAGTGGAAAATCGAGAGAGCACTTGGGGGTGTGCCAAGGGGGAGGATGGGGAGAGAGAGGATTGCGGAGGCGGAAGTTGTGGGGAGGAGGGGTGCGGGGAGGCGGAAGAGCTAGAGCGAGACCTGTATCTCCTGCACCACCCGCGCCACCCGAGCCAGCGCAACATTCCCCCTGCTAGGCGGCCTCGCCAGTTCCGCGGGGCGCGCGCGGCCAGTCAAAGCCGATTAAGTACAGACGATGCACGTAGGCGCGTTCTATTCGGTCTAGAACCGCACGCGACGGGTGCGGAAGGAAACGCGTTAGCGCTTCTCCACTACTGGCTTCGCGGCTCGGCCTCGCGAACCGCGCGAGGCTCTAACGGCTCGCGAAGGTGAGGGAGTCGAATTAACGGCTGAGATTGCGAGAGCCGTTTCCGCCGCTTGGCGCGCTTGGCGCTTCCGGCCGTGACTTGCGCCGGTCTCCGCAAAGCCTATCAAAGTTTCCGCCGGGTCTATTACAGATTCCCCCAAGTATATCGCGGTTTCCGCCGTTGCGCCAACGGCTCCGCGCGGCCTCCCCAGCCGTCGCGGTCGTTCCCCAACGACCTCCTACTGCTCCCGTTTCCGCCAAGACTATCGCGGTTTGGGGAGAGCTACCTCCGGTAATTGCGGGAGTAACTAAGTCTATCGCGGTCGCGCGAGTGCTGCCAATCGCAATGGCGGAGGTTCTCCCAGTCGCGGTAGCGGGGATACTTTCAAACGGCGCAGCGGTGCTCCGAATCGCGGTCGCGGGAGGGCGTCCAGATAGCGCAACAGTGCCCCCACCAATTCCAATGGCGGGGGTGCTTTCAAATGGCGCAGCAGTGCTCCCAGTCGCGGTCGCGGGAGGGATTCCAGATAGCGCTCCGTCAGAAGGCGCTTCGGACAGAAGGCCGCTATCCGCGTGGGTAGTTAATGCTAACCGCCTCTTTCGGGAACCGCTAGCCATTGGCAGGAAAGTGGAAGCTTGAGGGACTCGAGAAGGCGGGAAATAGCGCGAAGTGAGAACCGAGGGGAACTTCAGACTGACGGGGACGAATAACGAAGTGACCTGTAGAGTGGATACAGACAGAATGTTAATACCGACGAGAGGAGTGTGTTAATGGTGGACCACCACTATACGCTGCTTTCACATTCACACGTCCTAGCAGCACCACGTGCTGACATTGCAATGTGAATGCAGCAGACGGCAAAGCTTTCAACCAAGCAAGCACGATGCAGAGTGGGTAGGAAATGTACGCTTA